TAATTACTTGGTTTAATTATTTATCAAACTACCTTTAGTAAGCAGGTTGAACCACCATAAATATTAGGGAAGCTTATAAAGTTTTGTACTTTATGTCGGTGGTTTTCAAATAGGGCGATTTTGGTTCCTGGGGAAAGTTGGCAACGTTGGTAGACATTTTTGGTGGTCACAACTGGAGGGCAGGCGGCTGCTGGTGGACCATGGGTAGAGGCCGGGGATAACCTGCCTACACCAAAGAATGATCCAGCTCCAAATATCAGTAGCGCTGAAGTGGGCATATGCCCTGCTTTCTAGACTGAGGCTGAGAGTATCCTGGCTCATAAGACTGTGGGATCTGGAAACTGGCCACTCTCCTCTAGAGTTAATGTATCTAAAGTGCCCAGAAGAGCATCTGGCACGCACAGCTACTCAACAAATGTTAACCATTGGTACTAGTGGTAGTCGATCTCTTTTACCCTGGAAATGTGTTTTAAGATTTGTGAATTTCAGGGACATGGCTTGCAGGACTGATGAAAGAGTCAGTTGGCGCATCTGAGTCTGGGATCCCTCTAGCTCTCTTTCAGGCCCCAGGAGCCTCTGAAAACAGCAGACACTTTGAAGCAAGAAAGACAGCAAAGCTTTGAAGCCAGGAGTCATGTGGCTCTGCCATTTACCAAATGGGTGATCTTAGGCAAGTTACTTAACCTCTCTGAGCTGTGGTTTCTTCATCGGTGATAAGGGGGGCAGCAGTTTGCAGACAAGTGTGACGTGTGGCTAACCCAGTGGCCAGAGTTTGTGCAAACAACTGCTAGTGATCTTAATCAAGCTCAGCAGTCCCTGAGTCTTAGACAATTTTCAGTAGGTGGGGGCATTCTTAAAGGTTCCCAGTATCCATCCTGCAATGTATCGACTTTAAGAAGATGACACCACATTGACAATCTGACTTCTAGAATGAACTCTCCGAGAGTTCCATCTCCACGAGGCCATCCCAAGGACTTCAGGAACGAGCTCCAAAGCCTCTGGCTTTTCTGGATATGGAATTTCCTAGGAACCCCTTCCAACAGCTACAGAGTATTTTGTGGATCCAGAGACGGTTTTGAAAGAACAGGACAGTGATGGTGGTTGGTGGGACGGGGAGGAGCCAGGGTATTATATGATGATGTGCTGTTTCTAGGTTAAAGCATCACTGATCTAACTATGGCAGGGAGCATGAGGCCCAGTGACGTGGTACAAAGACCATTGGCCAGAGTCAGGAGACCTGGTCTGGACGAGTCTCATTTATCTGCCACTAACAGGTGACTTTGGGGTAGGTACTGAGTGGCAGACATTTCAGTCCTAAAATGTTCGAATCTCACGGGTCTCAATGTCCACATCTGTGAATTGAAGGACTTGGATCGGATGGTGTCCAAGACCCCCTTGGGCCCTGAGATTTATCTTTCTGATGATCTCTGAGGAAGTTCACAAAGTACTAAGGCATGCGGTTTTTTCCTTTTCAAGCTCCGGGAAGAAGAAAAAAAAGTTTAAATCACCATGGTAACAAGATAAAGCAGCAATCAGTTTTCTGATTAAAACCAAAAAGTGCCAATGTGTAAATGTAGAAGGAATGCATAATTGGCTTTGCCACCATTTAAATCTTCTTGTAAGAACATAATAAAAATCCTTGATGTTTCTACAGTAAATTTGTTATTACCCACGTGAGAACGCTCCCCCTTCCAACAGGGGGGTCACAATCAATGGACAAGCCCCCCCACAGCCCATCATAATTTTAAAGTGGCCTCTTTGTTTCTGCTCACCTGGAATGCATGCTAATTTGATTACCAGACTGGAATCAAGGTAACCAGGAAAATAAGTGTGCTATTTGAAAAATTATAGAGTCTATTCCAGAGCCAAATCAGAGTGATTTTTGTATTACTTGCTGCTTGGGGGACCATTTTCTGTATAGGAGCGAGAATAATCGAAAGCTGGCCCTGTGTGGGGTAGACCAGGGTTTGGCAGACTGCAGCCTATGGGCCAAATGGGGCTGACTGGCTGTTTTCGGATGGCTTGCAGCCTAAGAATGGTTTCTCCATTTTTAAATGGTTGAACAGAAATCAAGAGAGGAGTAAGATTTCGTGACAGGTGAAAAACATAAGAGATTCAGATTTTCACATCCATAGTAAAGTTTTACTGGAAACGAGCCATGCCCACTCATTTTCACGTATGGTCAGTGGCCGCCTTGGCCCTATAATGAAAGCTGAGTAGTTGAGATGACCCGCAAAGCCCCAAATGTTTATTATCTGGCCCTTTGCAGAAAAGGTTTGTCAACCCCTATTGTGGACCATCGCGGGAAAAAGGTCTGCTTGCCAGATGACCAGATGGGAACATAAAAGAAAAGAATATAAGGGATATACTGGGTCAGTTCTGAGATAGTAGAATGTTTACAAAGATGGAGCCCAAGGGGGTGATGGGGTGGGGAGGGGGAAACCCCGCAAGTCCTATGCGATGAATAAGATCTAGCCTACTTCACCTGGGCCCCGGGAGCTAGTGGGACACCAAGACAAGGATAAGATTCATGTCATTTTTTAAACATTTCTCATGAGTGAAGCTACTGGGTCAGTGCCAAGGGTAATGAGAAAAGTGAAATCTCGCGTTACAGAGCTCTGACTTAAAGCCCTCTGCTTTTTTCATGAATGCCACTTTCTGACATTTCACTGTAATTTCAGTAGCAACCTCATTAACTGGAAATGTAGAGGACAGGAAAAGAGTAGAAACGGTTTAATTAATCTTGGTCATATCATCCTACCCGTTTTCGAAGACCACTGGGCTAACCACTCGGGCAGAAAGAACGAGTTGGCTTCAATTCTAGCTGTTTTAATTGGAACGACGTTGGTTTAAGAGGTTACCTGGTCATACCCAGGAGCTGCTAGCTCGGCAGGTCTCGCTCTACGCTGTGCATTCTACCGAGACATCCAGTTTCCAGTAATATTGGTAAGACCAGACTCTCTCTGGAAGGGTACCTTCCATTTTGCCCCTTTGTCCTCTCTTTACCTTCCTTCAGGCAGCCAGCCAGCCTCCATGCTTTCTCAGTCTCCGGGGGGGCTTTCAGCAGGGCAGAAATGGAAATGGTTCTAGACATACTTTGCTTTGGGGATTTTTTTTTTTTTTTTTTCCCAAAAGCCTGAGTCCATTAAGGCAATTATGATTGGTGCCCCGACAGGGAGGGGAAAGCAGGAGCTCTTCAGAGACTCAGTGAGGCAGGGAGAGGAGTGTCTGGAGCCTGGGCAAGTGGCTGAGCCCGTCTGTGGGTTGTACCGGCGGCAGCTAAGCCCTCACCTTGCCCCCTCAGCAATCTCAGACAGGAAGCATGGGGAGAAAAAAGGTGAGCAGCAAAGTCAGTGGGACTCCCAGGTGACCAGAAGCTGCAAAGCCAATGGACTTGGAGGGACAGAGGAGGCTCAGAGCAGTGTGCATTCTGCTATCCCACTGGTGGTCATGTGAGTGGTCCTACTGCCCCCCAAGACCCAGGGGCCCTGGCGCTCCCCTGAGAGCCATCGGTCTCAAGAAAGACTGAGCCGCCTGGTAGAATGCAAGCCAGGAGACAAAAACACGTTCCCTTAAAGGAAACAAGAGATGTGCGATATTTTTCATATATTTGTTTTGGCTCTCTTGAGAGCCTGGTCAGTATCTTTTAGACAGTTGAAAAAAAGAGTTTGATGTTGTAGAAAGAGTCTAACAACATAGAAAAACCCACGAGGCTCTGGGAATTGTGTCTGTTCCTGAGATAACCCAAGCTAGGTAAGTGCGGGCGCTACTTGGTGTCAGCATGCTTTAATTGCAGGTGGAATGCCCCAGGATAGGATTCCTTGGGGAGCGACCAGCTACCACTGTTGAGTTCTAAGCACTTTACACTGTGTTATCTGGTTATTTGCTTCTCTCAACTACATTGGAAAGGAGGTGTACCGCTATTGTGACTATTTTACAGAAAGGGAAACCGAGGCACAGATGGGCTCCCTCCCCTGCCCAAGGTCATGCAGTGAGTGGCAGGGCCAGAACCTTAGCAGCATGACCCTCGAGCCTGTGTTATTAGCTACTATCCCACACTGCTAACCTTCTGAACACGGGATAATTTAGCGTGACAAACGCGGTGGAGTGTGGACTATATATCACAGAGCACATAAACTCAGGAGGAAAGTGAAGGTAGTTGGAGCGGAAAGCAAAATGGATGGACAGCTCAATTTAAAAGTTTGACCATAAATCACTAATTTTTTAAAAACAACTGACCGGAAAAATGCAAATCGCGAAATGCCAAAGATCCCTCACTTAGAGCAGAATCCTTCCACAAGGCTACTTAAGGGAGGCTCCCGACTTTCAAAATTTTGTCCCTCTTAACTGTCACTCAGCACCCAGACTTCGTTCCTGTGCCGGCTTCACACCAGCATCCGCTAGAGGGCGCCCCCTTTTCCCGGGGCAGGTCAGGAGACCTCAGGCACCAACCAGGTCCTGGGCGAGGCACCAGGCCTAGGAACTTCGCCCTCTGAGCAGTCTTCTCTCCTGCCCCTCTGAACCTGCCTGTCTCCCACCCCATTGCCTAGTCACTGACAGAGTACCTTCCTATTTCAAAGTTGGGCTTTGTTTTTTTTTAAGATTTTTTTAAAAAATGTATTCATTGGATAGAGAGAGAGCACAAGCATGGGGAGGGGCAGAGAGAGAGGGAGAAGCAGACTCCCCGCTGAGCAGGGAGCCCGACGCGGGGCTGGATCCCAGGACTGCAGGATCATGACCTGAGCCAAAGGCAGACACTCAACTGGCTGAGCCACGCAACGCCCCCTATTTCAAAGTTATTGACAAATTTGCACTTATGTTGAGGATTTTAAAAATATGAAAATAGAGGCACCTGGGTGGCTCAGTCGTTGAGCGTCTGCCTTCGGCTCAGGTCATGATCCCAGAGTCCTGGGATCGAGCCCCGCATTGGGCTCCCTGCTCCGCAGGGAGCCTGCTTCTCCCTCTCCCACTCCCCCTGCTTGTGTTCCCTCTCTCGCTGTCTCTCTCTCTGTCAAATAAATAAATAAAATCTTTAAAAAAAAATGAAAATAATTTACTATGTATTTTAACTCTTAACACGAGTTCTATCAGGGCTGGTAGGCACCACTTAGGGCACATTTTGGAAATAACGTGGAGATTTTTTTTTTTTTTTCTTCTAGGCCCTTCCTACTCAAAGTGTGGCCCATGGAACCACAGCGTGGACATCACCTCAAATCTTGTTAGAAATGTGGAATCCCAGAGCCAACCCCTGGACCCACTGAATCAGAATCTGCATTAAACAAAATCCTGGGGTGATTCATGTGCACATTACAGTAAAGAAGTATGGGGCTGGAATTCACATAGTAAAATATGTGTCATTTTATTATAATTCATTTCTTTTTATTTCTCCTTTATATTGCTTTTAGGGCAATTACTTTTAAAAATATGTGTGTAGGCAGGATAATTATCATTCATTTCAAGGTACCAAAAACGTGCTACAAAATATTTTTTATATAAGGGAACAATAGGTCAGAGACAGAATGGTAACCACTATTTTATTTAATTTTATTTATTCATTTATTTTTGGTAACCACTAGTTCAAAATACTGTTGACCTTTGACTAATTCAGCTTTGGACTGGATGGATCCACTTTCACAAGTTTTTTTGTTTTGGGGGTTTTTTGTTTTAATAAACACGGTACAGCACCATGAATGGACTTTCTCTTCCTTATGATTTTCTGAATAACGAATTCTTTTCTCTAATGTAAGAATATAGTATATGATATGCATAACATATAAAATATGTGTTAATTGACTGTTCATGTTCTCGGTGAGGCTTCTGGTCAACAGGAGGCAGTAATGAAGTTTTGGGGGAGTTAAAAGTTATATGCAGAATTTCAACTGCAGGGTAGGTCGGTCCTTAGCAGCTCCCCCCCCACCCCGTTGCTGAAGGGTCAACTGTATCACAATTCTGAAAAAGTTTGAAATCCTGCTGCCCTCTGTCCTTTCTTGGATATTATTTTGTGATTTGGGGCAGACCCCTTCATCTATTTGGCCTCAATTTCTTCATCTGCAAAATGAAGGGCATAGAATTAAATTAACTTTAAGAGCCCATCCAGACTTAGTCTAAGGCCAGCAACACGCAAGGAGGTATGCTCAGGAAGTGAACGAGTTTGCAAAAAAATGAAGAACACATGCGAAAGAGCAAAGGATACATAGCAAAGGGAAAAAAAATATCAAAGGGCAGGAGGGGCAGGGAGGCAAGAATGTGGAGAGACTGATAATGCAGACAGGAAGACAGGAAAAAGAGACAACTTCTGATAAAAGCAATTCCACCAGCCCATGAATTTTCATGGCTACCAGCTGGCATGAAATCATAAAGACAATTTTCAGCTCCTCTAACGGAATTGCATTTGTAATAATCATAACAATATTTCTACAGAGTAAAAATGACAAAGATAATTTGAAATGGAAAACACTGACAAGATGCAAAATAAATGTGCTCTACCTGGCAACAAATTTAGGGATGGGACAGAATTTGCATGAGGAAAATTTATAAGCCGGCATACAACGGGGCATCAGCTCTGGACGGGTTTTGATGGCTCCTTGTTAACCTCAGGTTAATCAGAGGGAAATGATTCTGTGTTAGCCTCTTGTAACAGAGACTTCCTTCCCACCATCGAATCTGCGGTGAGACGCACTCCTTTCGCTTTTCATTATCTGCTGCACAAACTGGTTGAGCACGTGTTACGATGCCATGTCCAGTCCCAATTTGCCCGTTTGTAAATGTCCCTCCTGGTCTTCAGGAGTGATCGTGCCCTTCTGCAGCCGTCCAAGAGGGTGGAAAATTGTAATTCTCCACCGACAGAGGTTTGCAACTTTGAGCACCTACTAAGTGTGAGATATTCCACAAGATGCACGAAAGCCTTCCATCCTATGGTCTGATAAGGGAGACGGACATAAGAGCTCACATTGACGGAGAGGGTTTTATGTGCCAGATAAATATAATGGCTAAGACTACCTGCAGTAGTCACTTTGGTAAGCGTCACGTGTATTTTTTTCACTGAACCCTTCGAACATCCCTGGGAAATAGCGACTATTATAACCCAATTTTATTGTTGGGAAATGGGGAGATCAGGAAGGTGAAATAACTCTCCATAAGTCACACAGCTAACGAGCAGCCAAGCCTGGACTCCAAGCCCACATAGAAGCTACGGTGGCGTCCATCTCTTTAACGATGGCCCTATGCTAGCTTGGAAAAATAACAGTGACCAGTGGAAATCACGCTAAACTACCTGCCCACTTCATCTTCCTCCTCAGCCGCTCCTTTTGAATCCATGTGGCTGGGTATGTTTACTCATCATGAGTGCTTGTTTATCATCCCACACATTTGATTCCTTGACTGGAATAAATAGGAAGAATTCATACTGGAGGGGGCTTCAGAGCTGGGTTCTAAGGTAACGGAGGTAGGATATTGACAGTGGATGTATTTTCAATGGGACAAGACATTGTGGTTCAATTTCTGAAGCTTCTTATTTAAAAAAAAATCCTTGCTTACTCTGACAGATATAACAATAATTGGGACCTTCCATCAGCCAGAGATGATGACACCCCCCTGGGGAAGCCCTCCACCCCGTGAATGACCCATCTAATGAAAGGAAATAGCATGGTCAAGGGCATGAGGAGGGAGAGTGTCATTTTTTTTCTATTTTTTTTTTTTTGTAGGGAAAAAGAATCCCTACATTTTTATATTGTCCCAGCTTCTTAGAAATCTTTACCTGAAACAGACTGGAAATACTGCACGGTCCAGGCGATCAGTACAGACAGAAGGAAGGTTCCCAGAAAGTAGATCTGCAGAATCCGAAGCATGAGTCAGATGGCTGACAAAGGGCAGGGGCCATGAGCGCAGGGCTGGGGGAGACGGCACCTACCAGGGCAGAGTGCAGGACGGCACCCCAGATGAGCCGCAGGTGAAGGTAAAGCCAGGCCAGGGAACAGGGGCTGAAGGACTCCTCACTGCTCTGGCTCCAGCACCTGCAGACAAAAAGCACAGGGAAGCCCGAGGGATCGGCAAACTTGGGGGGCATCACCCATGACCCTCGTTGTCAGATCCTCAAACCCCCCTCCTGCTCTGGGCAAATGGGCACACTTGAGATGAAAAACAAAGACACGAAGCCCGTTCTAAAGGGTTGGGGCCTGTCCTGAGATTCCAGGCTCCTGGCTGGCAGAAGCCTCAGAAAAAGATGAGTCTTGTTCTCAGTAAAAAGCTAATGGGTCAAGGAGGACCCCGACACAGATCTGCCAGAGGCGGATCTCCTGTCCGAGTGCCTGTCCAAAGTCCGGACGTCAGAACGCTTCCCTATCTTGCAGAAAGGCACGGTCTAATCAGACACATTATTCTTTCCACTCTCGTGGAAAACCTTGGTCAGCACTTTAACTTCAGATCAAGCACATTCTGTATAGAAAGCCTCAGATGCTAAAAAAGGGAAATAGTTTGGGTCCAGCTGAGTGTTCTTGAATCAAAACAAATCCCGAGCCCTTTTTATAACCACTGGCGTTACATAATAAGAGAAACTCAGACTTTAGCCAAGAAGCAAACACCACCCACTTGGGTTCCCCCAGACTCCACAGGATTAAAGAAGGCTCCGAACTCACCTTTCATACAGTTCCTGGAGGATGGAGATGTTATTAGAATGGATAGTTGGGTCAATTTCCAAGAAATCTAAAATATGACGTGGGATTATAGCACCTTCCTCAATGAGCAGAGCCAGGTTAAAAAATCCCTGAAAACAAGCCACAGACCAAACTCATCAACTCCTTATAATAAACCCCAGACACACACCCTTCATCAGAATGTAAACTTTTACAACCTCTAGGTTTTTTGTTTGTTTGTTTATTTTTTGTAAGTCCCTTGAGCCAGATGGTTTTGTCATCTTCATTGATGGATTGTTTCCCTAAGTATATGCATCTGAGAAATTTATTTGCAGGAGAACCAGGAGGCTTTCAGAAGATGCTGTGTCCCATCTGCTCAGAAGCCAGTCAACCAGGGGAATCTGTCCTTTCTTGCTCATTCTCTCAAGACAGAACTCGCTGGAAAACGTGCCCTTGTGTCATCCACAAACCAGAATACCAAGTTGAAGGCAATGTCTATCACTTATAGATCATGCTCTGGGACACCATCAGCATGTCGGAAATCGAACAGAATGTTTTTGTGGCCGGGGGTGCTCCTCCTGACTGGCATTCTAATGTAGAGAGTCTCTCTCATGCACAATGTCACACATGGGGGGTTGTCTCTGCTCTCCTAGGCCAGTGTGGAAAACCGCTCGTGATCCTCTTGGCAATTGGTAACAATTCCTTACCTCTTCCTTATACACCTTGTTCTTGACCCTCAGAGGTAGGACCTGCCTTACTGGGCTGTGCAGATCCAATTAAAAAAACCAGCAGAGCTAAGAGGCTGACAGGAGAGGTGATTCATAAAGAATGGGAGCTACTACACTGTCTGGGGACAGGCACCATCCATCAGGGGCAGAGCATATGGCCGGACCGAGAAATCCACAGAAAACGATGCGTTACTCACCATTAGGGATTTACAAGTGAAACGGGATTGTTGCCCTTCAAAGAATTCATGGTCATGTTTTAATGACTTGTATCCTCCCTTTGACCTTTCCTTTCAGTTGCCATGGACAAGGATCTCAATGAAAATCACCCCCAACAGGCTGTATACACCAGGCCTCTCATTACCATCCCATGCAATAATCATGATAAACATAATAGCAGGTAACATTTTCTGAGTGCTGTTATAATGTGAGGCGTTGTTCTGTTTTATGTATGTATCTGCTTAATGCTCGTAACAGCAGATTGAGATAGGTACTATTAGCCTCTCTATTTTAAAGGTGAGGAAGCTGGGGCACAGAGAGGTTGAGGAACTTGCCCAACGTAACACAGCTGGACAGGGGCAAGGGCTGGAATCCAAATGCAAGCACACAGGGCCCAGAGTCTCAAATCTTTACCTTCACTATGCTGCCAAGTAACCTCCAAACAGATCAAAGTGTTGTACCTTCGAGATGTACACATAACACACACTTATGCGCAAGCAGAAAATAGAATATTTCTCCACTCTTTAGAAAGAAGGTACTCTTAAAACTTGAGATATTAGAAGAAAAGAAAAAAAATCACTTTATGTAATTTTAATGTCTCTTGGAAAAATAGCAAAATTAAAATAAATGGGAAAACAGACTAGGCGAATATTTGTATGCAATGTAATAGCTTAAGGTCCATTATCTACTGGGCAAATGTATAAAGAACTGATTCTGATTTAAATGGAAAAAAAACCACCAGTATCAGGACGCCTGAGTGGCTCAGTCGGTAAAGCGTCTGCCTTCGGCTCAGGTCATGATCCCGGGGTCCAGGGATGGAGTCTGGCATCGGGCTCTCTGCTCAGCGGGGAGCGTGCTTCTCCCTCTCCCTCTGCAACCCCCCCCCCCGCTCATGCTCTCTCTCTAATAAATAAATGAAAATCTTAAAAAAAAAAAGCCAGTATCAAACCTCCAATAGATAAATAGGAAGAGAATACGAATAGAGAATCCACATAAAATATATCACGAGTAAATGATCGTAAAGTCTACGTAAAAATGTCCATTGCCACTAGTAATCAAATCAATGCAACGTAAAACAACAAGGAAGTTATCAACTTATAGTTATTTAATTAGAATAGTTAAAAGTGAAGTCATGAAAGCATCCAGTGCTGGCAAGATTTCTGTCCCTTTCCCGCACTCAGCCACTGCTTGGTGAGGTATTCGTTGGAAAACCCTTTCAGAAAGCACATCAGCCCATGTGCTATTAGTATATAGCCATGAGACCATTTCAACTGTTTGATTCAGTAATACGAGCCCTCAGATTATTAAGAAATTATTCAAATGGAGATAAAAGACGGAGGTATGAACATGTCCACTGAAGCACTCGATAGCCTTGCAACAGAACCAGAAAAGGCCTCCGCGTCTTCCTTAATAGACTGTAAATCCCAAGAAGGCAGGAATATTGTCTATTTTTTTCTCTTCCGTCCCCACCACTAAGAAGTGTCTAAGACATGGCAGGACTGAAGAAATAGGTGCCAAGTCAATGCATAAATTAGCAAACGAGAATAAACGTCCACCAATAAGATAAAGCTTAATAAATTACAGCCATGGGCTCAACAGAATATGGGGCAGTGGTTAAGAGTAATTAATAGTTACAGAGACCATGCGTAAAATGCACACATCCCTACAATATGTGAAAAGGGATGGATTTTCTAAGAGGCGTGGATGCTCTTGTCAAAATTACAGAGATACACTTGGCTGTGGACAGCAGCTAGAGGGGGACAGGAAGACAGGAAGGAGTAAAGGCCCAGCCATGGAACCGTGGCTGCATCCTTTAATGCTTATTTTCCTTTAAAATTATCTTTTAATGTTTCTATAACATTGTTTTTCCAAAAAATAAACATCAGGATTGAAAAAAAAAAAATAGGTCCCCTAAATCATCGAAGGAAGTTTGGCTCTAAACTGAGTCCTTTTAGCACCAACTCTGATTTCATTCCAGAAGAAGTAATCATAGGAAAGATCTTGTTCATTGAGTGTACTCAGTGCTGAATGTTTAATAACATTCAATCCTCATAACCTATGAGCTAAATACTATTATTATCCCCGTTTCCCAATGAGAAAACACAGACTCAGTGATTTAGTGACTTGGCCGGTAGGAATAGCAATGAAGTGGTAAAGACGTGGGGGTTTAACCCAAGTAAAGAAACACTCAGATGTTGTACCTCCTTTAAACAAAACAAAACAAAATCTAAGATAGGTATGCGTTTCCAGCTTTTGCTCTGTAATCAGACCGCAAAGCATAACACCAGAAACCTGGTGTCTAAGAAGGCATCAACCACAGGGCTCCTGGGTGGCTCAGTCGGTTAAGCATCTGCCTTCGGCTCAGGTCATGATCCCAGGGTCCTGGGATCGAGCCCTGCGTCAGGCTCCCCGCTCAGCGGGAAGCTGCTTCTCCCTCTCCCTCTGCCCCTCCCCTTGCTTGTGCTCTCTCTGCCAAATAAATAAATAAAATCTTAAGGAAAAAAAAAGGCATCAACCATTGCGACTTCCATCGTGAAAATGACCCTGAGATTCTCACAGGAGCATTCCGATTAGCAAATGTCAGAGAGATGGAACCAGAGGATCATCATGAGCTCACCACACTAATGATTGTTGCAGGCAAGATCTACTAAAAGATGCTAAAATTAGTGGACGGAAATTTGAGGAGAAACAGAATATTTGCAGAGTTGCAAACGATCTCCCCAGGATATATATAAATTAGAGAGAAAATTGTTAACTTTGCAGGGAAGAAACCCAGCAGAAGCTACCTTAACCAGGGGACTGAGATCAGCCTCACCAGGAATCAGATGTACTGACATCACTCATATGATACACTCAGAAGGACATATCACTTCCGTGTTTTCCTTGCTCAAAATGCATAACTTCATTCTATTCATGAGGAAGCAGAAGACAGAGGCAAATTGAGGCACAGTCTACCTAATACCCAGCCAGTGTTCTTCCTGAGTATCAAGGTCATGGAAGACAAACAAAGGCCGAGGAACTACTACCGACCGAAAAAGACTAAAGAAAAAGGACAACTAAATGTGATGTGGGAGTCTGGATGGGATCCTGGCACAGAAAAAGGGCATTAGTGAAATCCAAGGGAAAGCCTCAAGTGTACCTAATGGTCCTGAGCCAACACTGACTAGTTGATAACGGTATTGTGGTTATGTGCAAGATAGTCACATTCGGGGAAGCTGGGTGACTGGTATATAGCAACTCTCCGCACTCTTTTTGCAACTTTTCTATACATTTAAAAATCCTCCAAAATAAGAAGATCCCCCCCGCCCCCAAAGTCACCAAGAGCAAATTCCTATCACTGAAGTGTTGGCCCAACTATACAAGCAAATCATTTGTCATGTTGACCACACTTCCAATTTCTTCAGTTTCTACGCAGTGAGTTAGTTTGATGGAATCTGGTAGAAAGACTCCTGGACTTGGAGCCAGAAGACGTGGCTTTAGGATCGGGCTGCTTCCCCTGCTACCTGACTGGTTGGCCTTGAGCAATTTATCACCTGATTGCAGTCCTGTTGTCCTCCCCTATAACATGGCTATAATCACCCCCACCTTCAGGAGATTGCTGTGAGAATAGCGTGGCAACCGTAGCGGGTGCTCCATGAAGGTTCCCCGTTAGGGTTCGTGTCCTCACAGAGCTGTGACAATGGAGGAGAAATGACTTTGTGACCTGGGAAGGAGTAAAGACGGGAGGGCTTTGGGAGGACTCCAGGCCTCGCAGCCTCACAAACAGACAGCACCCAGGGTTTGTCTCTGTGGTTTACCTGCGAGTCTCCATCCAGCGCTGCTTGGGCGTACATCTGCACGGACAGCTCAAGGTCTTGGGACTGGTTTTGGTGGTCATAGTAATAAAGGTCTCCCATTTTCAAATACGCTGCAGGACACAAAGCAGAGGCCCATTGGTGAAGCGGTTCTATTTCAGACCGACATTTTCAGTGGCTGGTCCAGTCGCACGACTGAGAGTTTTTCCTACCTGGACCTGAATACATAACATCATTGTTTCCTTGGGGTGTCAGGAAGGGGGTGCGGGAGGAAAACCTTTTGTACCGAGCACCGCCATTTCTAGACACATTTTCTTGCTTTGCTGGGCAGCTCTCCCAAACGGGTCTGTGAAAATCCCAGTCTACAACCTTACAGCGCAATTGGCCAAGATCGTTTGGGGCACTTTATTTGACATCTGAAATTTTGCTGCCTAAGTTTGATGACTGGCGGGTATTTCTTTACTCTGTTTAAGCCATAGATTTTTTTTTTCCCCCTTGGAAAAAGTTTTGCCTAATGGTGTATGTATCACTCAATGTCTAGTCAGAAAAATAGAACCTGTGTCCAGTGGTTCAAAAGATGGATTTCAACACTGGGAACCGGTTACCAGGGTGTTAGAAGGGCTGAAAGGGCAAATGGGGGAAAAACCAACAATCCAGAGAAGAGTAAGATAGGAAACTATTACCATCCCTAGATCTGGGACCACCTGAGACCACAGAGGGTGGCCTGCCGGTAGGAGCTGGAACCATATGGGTATACAGCCATTGCCGGAGACACAGTCCGAAGTAGAGGGAGAAGGGGAGAGATACCTGGACTTCTCACTTCCTCCCATCCAGCAATCTCCTGCCGGCACCTCCCATGGGCTGAAACCAATCAGATGCCCAGGAACACAGGAGTCTGGGAACTGTACTTCCTGGGGATCAACCCCTCCCATTCAGAGCAGAGCAAGACAGGGATACATCCGAGGGCAAAAAAGGCAAATGACTGGCCCAGAGAATCTCTCCAGAATAGCTTTCTCTTTTGAATTCTCACCAACTCTGAAGAAATGGTGGGTTCAAGCATTCAGTGGACAATGGAGGAAGAGAAGCACATTGCTTGTGGCCGACAGCAGTTTACTCATGATCTTAATAGCAGAGATTTTTCACACTCTTTCCTAATTGTTTAGAAATACCATACTTCACATAAAGCTGTTAGATGTTCCCTGTTACGAAAGATTAAAAGCTTCCAATGCTTTAATTTAGCACCCATTTTTCCATACATACCAAATGAAGGAGCACCGATTTGAAAAACAGAGAAATTATAGTATCTCCAAACACAATTAACACCCAAGTATCTCTTGGCCAGGTCCTAAGGGGGTGAAGGGGGAGAAAAAGTTAATTCATTAATATATTTCAGCCAAGTGACTAATTTTGCCTTCATAAAACCCAACTCATTATCCTTAACCTTAGAACTTCCACTCCAAGAAGAATACATTTACTTACTGGCCTCTCCTCACAGATGTGTGCTAAATTTGTCTGGGACACTTCGATTCCAGTTTCTGCTGCTAAAACATAATACAGCAAAGCTTCGTGCCTAAAAATAGATGATTAATAATAAATTTCATATAGTGGCTCTTACTAATATTCACAGAGAGCTCTATATTCAAGCATAAGAGGGCACAAAATAAGCAGTTTTTTTAAAGCCACAAAATCATGAGTTTGTTGTGTGTGTGTGTTTTTAAAATAAATCCTGTTGTTAAAAATACTGCATGCACTGATTTATTTTCTATCTTAAAGGCTGAACTCACTGATAAGGTTGGAGAGTTATTAATGCAACAGCTACCTCTACTGGCTAAATGGTGTATGGCATGCTGGCTGGGTGGTCTCGTAGCCTTCTGTCCTTGAATCCTTCCATTCCCACTTAGAAGAGATAAGTGGCATTTAGAAAAAGCCCTGTGCTTTTGGGTCCTCGGTTTCGTGAAAGCCTTCATGGGACTTAGGATTCTGAGCAAGCTTAATTAAAGCTGAGTTTTTGTGATGCATTAGAAGCTTGGCAGAGGAGAGGGAGTTTACAAGGGGCTTGAAACCAACGGCCAAACACACAGAAAAAAAAAAAATGTTCGATACCGCTAGTAACTGAATGATGGCAAAACAATGACGGGTCACTGTTAATCTGTTGAAAGACTGGCACAAGATTCATAAGACAGAGTAGCAGCAAGGGTTTGGGGAAATGGACATATTCCTAAGGCCAGTGCTTGCGGGAAGGCCGGTGACTCTAGCCGTTAAATGCGGGAAGTCTTAAGAATGCACATACCATTTGGCCAACAGTCCTCCCTTGTGAAGGTTTATTCTAAAGAAGCAGAAACATGTGCAAAGATTCTGTGACAACAGAGTTCACGGCAAAGCTGTTTATATGAACAAAAAAACACTGGAAGCAACTTAAGTATCTGAAAATCAGTGAGTAGTTAAATTACCCCATGGTGCAGCCACTTTCAGATGAGGCCATTAAAAATGATGTTGTAGAAGAGAATTCAAAAACGTAGAAAGATGTTTATGCAAAATTTTCCACTCAGTTAAGAAAAAGAAACAGCAGGATGAGAAACAGAGCAATTCCGTTTTTGTAAAGCAGAAATAAAACCGAGTGCACACCTTCACAAGCTCAAGCCGGTGCATATAGGCAGAGAAAAAATAATAAAACCCCCAAATTATCTATCAAAGTGCTCACAGTACTTTTCTCTAGGTGGTGAGAATCAAGTCATTTTATTTTCTTCTTTTTAATTCTATGATTTCCTCCATTTCTTTGTGCTACCCAGGTTATGAGCGAAATTTTATTTTGACCAGAAATCGTTATTTTGCATTCTCAGGGGTTGACATTAAGAACTTTCTTAACTGCAGCTCCACCCCAAAACTGGCTTCTGGTGGGACTGGTGAAATAAGGAAAGCAGATTCTGAAATCATTTTTTCTACTCTGTTTAAGCAGCTTCTGGTGGCCCATCCCCTGGGGGACAGAGAGAGGTGACTGGGGGTCAAATTAGGACAGTGAGACCTTCAATCGGACACAGTGCAGGTCACGGGCCGCTTCCCAGACACCCAAGGCAGTGGACCAATTAGCCATGACTCATGCTAAAGAGAGACGAAGCTGGCTGGGCAGTTGTGCACTGCATTGCAAGCCAGATAACAAACCCACAACGGCAGCTGTAAGAACCACACAAAAGATGCCTGGGCATTTTCCTACACAGCTGGTAAAAATCATGCTTTGTGACAAGAATCTTCAGAACAGACCCCAGATGGAGGGCATGCAAAGGAGGCCTGGCAGAAAGTCCCCATCATTCTGCGACAGGGACCCATTCCCAAGGTCTCACAATCTTGCGTTTCTTTGGAGACACTTGGATTAGAACCAGTGCCTGTTTCCCCCAGGGATGGATGCGGGAAGGAGCTGGTGTAGACTTGCCAGCTCAAGGTCACATGTCAGGCCAGGTCCCTCTGCTGCCATAACTGGATGGGATGTGGCTCACATTATTAAAATGTAATCAAAATGGCGTTTTCTTCGACAGCTGTCGGGCAGACTGTTCTAATGTGCGAGGGAGGCATGAGGCTGACGCTTCCCGGAAGAACTGAGTCACTAGGATAAACTTTACAAAGACAAGATCTTGTCTCTTGAGTTACTTTGGTGGTGGGGAGGGGAGGGAGGGGTGAGTTTTATAGGAAGATTTGCACTGTCCAATTACTGTATAAGCCAAGGGGAAATTTCATACAATTCCCAAGCATTTCCTTTGAGGAAGCACTGAAATCCATCAAAAAGAGATGTCTATGAAACATCGATGTCAACAGAAGCACTGAAGGGAAATCCACTTCTGTCTTCCCTCCTGCAGAAACAATCCTCCGACGCCGTGCACTCCCACACCGCCACCATCCGCAGGGGAAGGTTAGAACTCTCAAGGCCAGACTTCCTCAGCCTATTAAGACTTCTGAGAAATGACACCTCTGCAGAAATCCTACCCACATTTAGCCTCCCAGTGTTTTGTTCTTATTTAATTGTGTTTCAACACAGAGTGCCTAGAAGTATTAATTACAGATATTTCTGTATTTATATTCATGGAACAAACATGTATGCAGCACTTAACTGTGGGCAGGAAGCCCAAAGATAAGCCACAAAGCTGTACTGTCCTTTCCATGGATTTCCACAAGGCTTAGGAAGCTCACCAGAGCTTCAAGCTTTATTTCAAATGCACTAAAATGAAGTTGTCCCCCAGACAGTCATTCTGACAGGGATGGGGGTGGCTGGTAGACATGGAGAGGAGGGGATTTATGGTAAAGAGCGAGTTTAGGGGCTTATTTGCTATCCTCCCACTTCCGACTCAGCATATACACTTAGAGAGTTTTATAATGATACATCTTATTAATCAATCATTTGGCTGCTTGCTGTGAATTGTGAATTTGAATACCTCTGAGCAGCTTCCCAAACAATTATATGATGTTCTTTGTGCTCTTCTCTGCAGCTCAAACCGAAAGGATAAAAAAAAAAAAAAAAAAAATCCTGGGATCTCTGTGGAACTCGAGACCCCTGGTCTCTTGCAGAAAGGTGAATCTCTTTCAACTGAATTTGGCATGCCTACTTGTCTTGCCTCAAGCCCGCCATAATCTGGCTAACCTCCTGGGTTAAATATTTGGGGCATATTTAAGACAAAGGACAATAAAACACATGGCTCACAGATAAAACACACATGGGGGAAGGCAGAGAGAAATGAAACATGACAGTCAGCCTCTCCTTCGCTGACTTCTGGTGTCCGAGGACAGCCTGAGGCATGACAACATTATCTTCCATATTATGCCTATACAGCAAAAAGCCCTTTTCTCAATTATGCTCCTCTTTTAAACTATCCCATATAAATCTTGGAACAACACAGAAAAGCACAAGCTCATCAAACTGACACATGTAATTTGAAAATAACGTCCAGAATAAATTCACTCACAGAAAAGGAAAAAGGGGGATGGACTTGGGACATTGATGGATGATTTAGTTCTATTACAGCAAAATAGATGGTACCAAAAAAGCCACATTGTGGTATGGGGAAGCCAACATTCCTATATTTCCTGGTTAACCCCAGGGCCGGCTTCAGGACTTGGAGAGCGGGTGGAAATAGAAGCACTTCGCCTCAAATACATTGTGATGAAGATTTTCCCATTATAATGGATACTAGATGTCTCTTCCTGTTGATAGAAAAAAAGGCTTCGGATCCGGATTGAAACTTAATAATACTTAGCATCAGCATCAAGATTGACAAGGATATGGAGAAACAAAAATGTATACATGGTTGGCAGGCGAGTAAATCGGTAAACTCCTTTGGAAAAACAGCTAGCATTACCTTGTAAACGTGAACACTATCTTATAAAGTACCTGCCCTGTGACCCCACTCCTAAGTTTATATTCTAGCAAAACTTTTCCTATGTATGCCATGATATACATAAAAAATGTTCATGGTCATATTGTTCTTAAAAACAACAAAAAAAGGGAAACGCAAATGTGTGTTAAAATAAGAATTGGTAAGTAAAGTGTGGTATATGACAGCAATAAAAATGACCCGCAGATACATGCCTCAAGGGATATGAAGCTCAGAAACACAGTGTTACGTTTAAAAAAGAAAGGCAGTTGAACCATATATAATATGGTTCTAATAATATAAAGCTCAGACATAAGCCAAATAACTCTACTGCTTAGGAATATATCCACGTATAGCAAAACTATAAAGAAAGCAAGGGGAGAACAACAACAAGGCTTAGGATGATGGTTACTTCTGGGGACTGGGGGTGGGGGTGGGTTTAATCTGGGGGGGAAATGCAGGGAGCTTCAACTGTTCATTTTCTTACATAGGGTTACAGGTATTCATTGTATCATTATGCTTAAGAACTTAAGAACGTATACATATATATATATATCACATATCACTTCATACTTATCAACGACTATATGACAGAAGAAGGAGAAAACAACTCAACTGGCTTCTGCCACATCTCCAGTTCAAATGCTCAGCTCCTTTTACCTGGATTCTGAGCCAGCATGCCCCTTCAGACTCTCCCTTCTCTTTACCATCAAACACAGTTGTCTGGTTAGACATCTCAGGACCCAGCTTTGTCATGTCACTACCTTCTCCCCAAACTATCAATAGCTCCCCACTGCCTCATGAATTAAGTAAAAAGTGTATGACCTCCCATTCAAAGTTCCATAGAGCAGCATCTCTTTGCTCTTGTTATTTGTCACTCCCTTTTAAAAATCTTACCTGAAGGCAAACTGGTGGCTTAAAATTTCCTAGACTCATCCAGAATTTTCCTATCTCTTTGCTTTTGTTTCCTGCTATTCCCGTCATCAGAAATGCTGTTCCCTGCATGGCCAAGTGGAAATCCCACCCACCCCTCAAGGCCATATTATCTGCTACCCCCGTCACGAAGGCTGATCTAAGTCCCACAAACCAGATAGCATCTTTTCCTTCTCAGAATCCTTCATGCTCTTTATATACTGCTCATGTGCCTTGAGTTATGGTTGTTCTATTTGCCTTAGATCGTGCACTCTGTTTTTGAGCACTTCCCAGGTAACCCTAGGTGCTGGGCCCTGGGGTACAAATCACCGGACAATCAACAAGAGCAGTCATGATCTTAAAGGGAGTAAGGAGTTAGGGAGGACTTCTCGGCAGAGGAAACAGCAAGTTCAAAGATCCAGAGGTCAGACAGAATGCAGACCACGTGAGAAACTGCAGATAGTTCAGCATAAGGAAGAAATGAGGCAGAGCGCCTGGCTGGTTAAGTGGTTAAGTGCCTGCCTATGGCTTAGGCCATGATCCTAGGATCCTGGGATTGAGCCCCGGGATGGGCTTTCTGCTCAGCAGGGACCCTGCTTCTCCCTCTGCCTGCCGCTCCCCCCTGCTTGTACGCTCTTTCTTTGTCAAATGAATAAAACCTTTAAAAAAAAAAAAAGAAAGGAGGCAGCAAGCTTCCCCACTTCTTCGAGCCCCGCCTGTGGCATGCCCTGCAGCTTACGGCAAGGCATCCTGCATTTAAATGTACTCAGTAAAATCTGCTGACCTGGATCCGAATTCACAGTGTAGAACACACTTAATTTCCCCCTCCCCTCCACCAAAAAAAAAAAAAAAAAAAATCAATCTTGTGTTGTGGCTGAATATTTTAAGAAGGACAACAAGTTGCAAAAATCTTAATTCATCTCGACCTTCACAGCGAATTTTAAAATGTGCTACCTGAAATGCTTTGTGATGTTAAATTCAAAAGCAGGCAAGAAATGTAGCTATTAATAGACACTCTCTTTATGGGGAAAAATAGTGTCAAGCATTGTGGTGTGTATGTGTGTCAGTGTGGGGCTGTTTACGGATGTGCTCTCTCTTTGGGAAAGCCCACGTACACACTTCGGGTTTTGAATACTCTTTTTCCCCTAAGAAGCTTGTGGGGAGCAAAGAGGGGGGTAGTTTGGAGGATGAGAAGTAGAGAATAAATTAAATTTAAATTTGGGAGTTTTAGAAACTGAAGCTCACTTGGGAGACAAGATAAAGCACCAGAAAAATTATAAGGTGCATCAAGGGGAAAATAATAATTCCATTAAAATTTTTTCCAGATTGTGCAAAGTGAGGTTATAGATAATAAACTTTCACAGGATGATAATAACAAACATTCCTTTTGGTATTTTCATTGGGTTCACGTCCCTGCCTTCTTTAAGATTTTCATTCACTGACATGCTATCTGCTGATTATGCAGGCACCCATGGACGAAAGGAGAAAATAGTGTTCTTTTGGACTTATATTTTAATTTTTAATTCAGGTTCAGATCAGAGTATGATCTATGATAGGTCTGGTCTAATGTCTTTGAGGCAGTGGACCAATGGGATATGTGCCGATTTGTATACCCTTTTAAGTTATTACTGAAATACCCAGATCACTTGGGCAATAAACCAACCAAGAAAATATGTCCCAATGGAAAAGTAAGACAGAGTGGCAGGACTGGCAGAAGAAATCAATAAGATGGAATCAGGTGGAGTTTGCAGTTTGGAAAGGTGTGCCCTTATTTGTAAAATCAAGGCACAGCAAACGGGAATAATTTGCAAGTCCTCAGTGCAGCATCTCATCCCATAGGGTACAGGTTGAGATTTGTTAACTCCATCAGAAGAAAGTTAAAATGGGGAATCTATTTGGCTGTGATATCCGAGGGCTGGTGAGTGAGTTCCAGTAATCCCAGGCTCTTGGCCATGGAAGATGTAGTAACATATCAGTGGAAAGATGTAGCTTGAGCCTTAAACACACTGCTCTCTCTGCTTCCCATGAACTTTCTGTGCTCTGCCAGGGAGGGGCAGAGGTTCAGCTAAGACCCCCTGTGCTGTCTCCACTCTAAAAACAAGAGGAACAAGCTTGAAGGGAAGAGAAGTCAACACATTCATGGGTCTCTCAACTTGATGAATGTGGATGCTTCCCCTAGAGAACTAATTTTCGTGTATAATTAAACATGGAAATGCTATGTTTTCCAATCAACAGCCAATCAGTCTGTGATACTCTGAATATCATTACTGGGAGGCCATGATTTCCCTGCAAATTGCTTTTTCGGTTGTATTTTAAGACTCCATCTCATACGACTACACTGACAAATTGAAAGGTGAGGGCTGAGAAAGTTCATTCTAACATGGGTCCCCAGCTTACCATGAGCCCTCCAGGTAGGCATTGAGGCCTTTGCGAATGACATGGCCCAAGTAGCCATTTTTCTCAGCTACGTGCTTTGCCCATCTGAAAAGAAAAGGAATGAGAAAATATCCAAACTGTGGCAAATTAAATAATTGTTTTTTCTTCATATGATCTCAGTAAATCCCAGTTGGGGATTATTTTGCTTGTTAGAATTTTTACACAGCAACAAACCAGAACTGAACATTAAGAAGGCAAAAAAAGATGCATTTTGAGAACTTTACATTCAGTGCCTTTTCTTATAAGTGCTTAGGAGTTATCGTGTATGGAGACAAAGACGTGAGCGATACCTAATGAAAAATAACCACCGATACAAAAAAAGATAATCTTCACCAAGAGTTCTAGTACTCTCTCCATTAAAACATGTTTACTGATTTATTATAAGGTTTCCCCATTTTTTTTTTCTGTTCTCTAATTTATCCTGGAGAATTTTTACTAAATAATGAACTGGCCTGTTGTAATCTTTAGACTTACAATCACTAAAAGAATATTACAAGGATACACAACTAACAAGCTAATGGAAAGAGGAAATAAAATTTTTTAAAAAGACTTGGGTAGCTCAGTCGTTAAGCGTCTGCCTTCGGCTCAGGTCATGATCCCAGGGTCCTGGGATTGAGCCCCGCATCGGGCTCCCTGCTCCGCGGGAAGCCTGCTTCTCCCTCTCCCACTCCCCCTGCTTGTGTTCCCTCTCTCACTGTGTCTCTCTCTGTCAAATAAATAAAGTCTTTAAAAAAAACTTGAGTAATGTAAAGGAAGGGTAAGAAAAGGGGAAACAAGCACAAAGAATGGATGGGACAAGTAAGGAATAGGTAGTAAAATGGCAGATTTAAAACAAAATATATCTGCAAGTTGCGTTAAATGTAAATGGTCTAAATATACCAATTAAAAACTAAACTCGTCAGACTGAATAAAAAGTACACAAAAACCCAATTATTTGCTGCTTAGAAGAGATACATATTAAAATTAAAAGAAGAAAAGATTAAAAGTAAAGTCTGGAAAAAGATATAACTCTAACAAAAAAAACTCTAAGAAACAAAAAAAGCAGGTGTAGCAAAATTGACGGTATGCTGGTCATAAAGCAAGCCTCAACAAATTCCAAAGGACTGAAGTCATTCAGAATGTATTCTTTGATTGCAGTGGAATTAAGCTAGTAATCAATAACAAAAAAAAATTTATGAAACATATGAATGTTCACACCAAACATCCTAACAAATAATGATAAAAAGCTTCAAGTTTGTCTTGGTCAAGTTTTATCGATGAGTTCAGGTCAGGTTGGATTTGCTTTCAAATGTCTTATGAAACAAAACCTTTTGAAAAGCCAGACTGTTGGTTTGAGGGTGATCTAAAGCAGAGGTCTGCAAAGTTTTGTTTTTTGTTCTTTTTTTCTGTAAAAGGCAAGATAGTAAATATTTTAAGCCTTGTGGGCCACACATAGCCTCTATTTATATTCATCGTAGTGTGTGTGCTTGTCTTACACCCTTTAAAAATGTAAAAAGCATTCTTAGCTCCTGGAGCCACACAAAACAGAGGGTGGGCCACATGTTACTTATAGGTCCTAGTTTGCCAACCTCTGTAAAACATTTTCAGATATGCATGACCTCAAAAATGCACCTCTTGTTCACCATTCTTTAGGAAGCTACTGGAGGATGTGCTCTACAAAAGCATAGGAGTAAATCAAGAAAGAGGAAGAAATAGGGTAAGGCAAGGAGAGCCCAAAAAGACAAGGATGAAGGGAAAGGAAATCTCCACAGTGATGACAAAGTTAATTTCAGGAAGGCAGCTCTGTCCTGAGCAAAGACAGAGATGTCACCGAGATTAAGTTAATTGTATACCTGGTGGGTGTGGACATACTGAGGAGAGATTTAGACAACTGTGGGAGAATTTGGAGAATTAAACACATGAAAAATGATAAGTATGCAGAAAGCTAAGCAACTGAAGGACTATGAAGTGTAATTAATGCTCCACAGAACACAAAAAACTGTGCAAGAAAGAAAAAGTAGTCACAGCATATTACATGGCTCAGCGGGGAGTAGCACTCACATGGCCCTAATAATGGACACCCTGCTCCTAATCTAACCAAAATAATGATATATTTATGGGAAAATGGGACCAGGTGGGAAGTGTGGATGCATGGGATGACGGGTGGCGGCAGAATGAGAGGGAACTCTATCTTTATTTTTCACAGTGGGACATCATTAGACAAAGCCTGTAATGAAAATAACAAGAAATAGTAGTATGAGCATGTCATTGAAAGAGAGAGGCAAACAGTAAAGAAATAATGAAAAGACTGAAAGTGACTTATTCTTGAGAGCAGGAAGTAGTCTGGGTGGGGTAGCAGATTGCTTGCTTTTCCCATGTCAAATTATTATTTTTTTGGTTTCAGTTAAAATGTACTTATTTTTGCCTTGTCGAATGAGACGGCTCTTGAAACTCTGTGCATGTATAGCTGGTAAAAATAAAGATTGAATTCAAAATTGCAAAACAAAGAACGGGGACTCCATTTTCAGGCACAGTGAATTAAGTACGCGGCTTTCCCTTTGTGCACAATAGCTGACAGATTCTTACACAACAGCCTTCTCGGGATCTCTAGGGAATGTCTCCAGGTTTCCTGTGATATAATAGAGAGAACACCACAAGGTTCCTTCAATGTGTCCGCCCTGTGCAGCCTTATGGAAATATTCACCGGCTAAAGTCTGTAGAGAGATAAACAGAGTTATCTCATTAGTGAGGAGTCCTCCCAGGTGGATTGGTCTCCCTGGAGCCAACACGGTGAGACACTCAACCCCTGATATTTTCACCGGCTCATCACTTCTGATATCTTTAGGAAAACCAAGTCAAGCTTCAGGAAGACAGCCCATCACAGAAGCCAGCCTCTGGATGCGATAACCCTGACAGTAAACTATTCTGTTAAGTTTACCCAATAAATTAATAAGACAACACGTAGCTACGAATCCCTTAACCCTTGTAAATGAAACGGAAGAATGTATCAGAAGTCATACCGGGTGAAAATTCAGGCATTGGCTTTCCTAACCTTGATGAATACTTTCTTCAAACTCATGTGCCAAAACTGCATCTCCCGCAGGAAGGTGAGAATTAGAATATGACAATAAAAAATCCACACTAGCATATAAGTGGGTGGGTGACCAGACATGAGCAATGCATAAAAACATACAGCCCCTTATGCAGGCAGAGAGAGGCAGAGGGGAAAAAGAAACATTTAGAAGGGTGAATATTCTGCTGGTTACTATTATTTTTGCCGAGGCGGTTAGCTGCCGTTCTGCAGCAGGGCTTTGGAGTCAGATGGGCTTGGGTCTAAATCCCAGCTCTGCTCCTTCCCCCTGTGTGACCTTGGGCATATTAGTTCATCTCTCCAACTGCGAGATTTCTGCAGCTGAAAAATAGGGCTTCTAATAATACCTAGCGCGAATGGCCGTTTCAGGGATTAAATGAGATGTATTCTCAAGGTTTAGCACAGTGCTTCACAGAAATTATCTTCCAGGTCCCAACCCCCAGAAACTTGCCGCTGCCTCAGGCTGGCCCATCCTGCGAATTGCCCCCTCCACTCTTCTACCTCGATAAATGCCAAATACTTTGGAGTCACCCCGTTTCCTCTCCCCTGTCACACCTCACATCCAATCCATTAGCGAGCCCTGTCACCTTGACCTTCAAAGTACGTGCATAATCCAGCCACATTTCCATCCCCCTCCTGGGGTCGCCCATCGTTTCTCACTTGGATTCAATACATTAACCCCCTGCTCCCCTCTTGTCTTCTTTAATCCTAGTCTCTGCTAGGATCTAAGGGGAGGCTTTTAAAGCACAGCACATCACTGCCCTGTCCAAAGCTGCCCAGCGGTTTCCCATCTTCCTCAGAGCGGCGGGGACCTCACAATGACCTGCGCACCTGCCTGCCCGACCTTCTCGCCCACCTATGCCCCTCCCCCACTTCCCGCTCCCGCTGCTCCAGCTTCCCTGCTGTTCCTTGAGGAGCAACAAGCCTGCTTTCCTCTAGGGCTTTTGCCCTGGCTGTTCCCTCTTTCTGGAATATTCTGCTCCCAGATATATATAAGGCTCCTGTATCCCCAGTGCCTCGGAGAGTGCCTGGCATAGGTGGGCATTCAATGAAATTTGTGGACTGTAATGGTGCAGAAATTATAATCACCATCATCAAGACTATTAGTAATAACGAGGGGCTTCCATTTTGTGCAGGGATCCCAGTCCTGCCTCCACTAAGCGTATGACTCTGAGTAAGTTACATATGCTCTCAGAGCCTTGATTGTTCATTCTGTAAAATGGATATAATCATAGCAGCTATTCCAGAAGGTAATTAGAATGACACTGGGTGCCTGTCAACTATTTTTGAGTGTCTATCACAGAGGAAGTGCTTAGCAAACACTGAAGACTGTCACTGTGGTTTTCACTATTACGAAATCTGGTCTCATATCTGGCAACCCTATCTGGACTCAGCTCTCTTTGCTTCTAGTAAGATCAATCTCTGCACTGCCTCTTGCTCATTCTCATCTCGAATCATCTTCCCCTTCTTCCCTAGTTCAGGCCTCCCTCCTCCAGGAAGCCTTCCTGACTGCTTTTGGCCATCACAGTTTCCCCTGTCGAGATCTGTTTGGGTCAGAGCAAAGAGCACACACTTGACACTTGGCTAGATACCATCCTTTGCCGTTTGCTGTCTTATCTTCCTTACTGGACCCTGGAGTTGCTTGAGGACAAGGTCTGTGTCTTGGGTGGCATCTGCACCCCCACGGGGCCTCATGCAGGCCGGGCACATGGCAGACAAGCCAGTGGCCAGTGGCACAGCTGGTCTCAAGCCTTACTTGATTCCTTTCAGGAATTCCGGGGAAAATGCCATCCAAATACAGGACTCCAAGATTGTACGATGCATCCGGATTCCCCATTTCTTCTGCTTTTAACCAGTACTTTGCTGCTTTGGCATAATTTTTCTTGAACTTGTGGTAATACCATCCCAAGCCATTGACTGCCTGATGCAATCCCTGGATTTTAGAACAATGAAAAAAAAAATTACTTTTAAAAAAAATTTTTTTTAATGAAACCTAAAGAGAATCAATTGTTGGGAAAGCACTCTGCCTGCATCTGAGCAAAACCTTTCCCGTCTCTTTCTGGGGGCAGATGGCATTAAAGAAAAGCTAAGTGTTAGAAACCACGAGCCTGCTCAGAGCCTTCCCCGGGGTGGATTTCATCTGGCTGCTGCTGGGGGATTCCTGCCTTCCAGCATCGCAGCGATGCTGCCCCCAGATCATGGCGCAGCGCCTGCAGGCTCCTGCGCAAAGCCCTTGTCTACAAAAGGCCTCTTATTGCCCCGCAGCATCAACAGTGACCTTGTGACTCATGAGCGCTCACCTGCGAGGGGAGGCCTGACCCCCCCCCCCCCCCCCCCCCGGGCTGGGACAGTTTCTAGGTGACCCGCCTCCCCATCTGTTGATTACTCTGCCCTGAACACCAACAAATTCTCAGAGGGAAGCGGCTGCAACAGCCTGCTTGCAAAGCACAGGAGCTCTGAGGCTACTGGGAGTCCCAGTCCTGACTACCAGGTAGAGTTGGGAGGGTGGGGGGAGGGGGGCTCAGGCGGGGGGAGGATGGGAGGAGGGTTTTGTGTTTTTTTTTAAGATTTTATTTATTTGTCAGAGAGAAAACGAGAGAGAGCGAGCAAGTGCATAAGCAGGGGGAGCGGCAGGCAGAGGGAGAAGCAGGCTCCCTGCTGAGCAAAGAGCCGGATGTGGGACTCCACCGACCCCAGGACCCTGGGATCATGACCTGAGCCAAAGGCAGGCGCTTAACCAGCTAAGCCACCCAGGGTCTCTGGAAGGAGGGTTTTAAAACTGTGTCTAGACCTGGGGCTGGTACCGAGGAAGTGCTTTAAGCAAATCGAGTCTGGAGCCTCCTTGTGCTTGCTGATTTCATTCTAGCAGGTACTCCCGTGTGCTTTCCCCAGATGCTCCCACTGCTTCCACAGGGCAGCCTGCAGCTTGGTTGTTGAGGGCTCAGAAGCCCTGCAGGGGTGTGAGTGCTCCGGAAGGAGCCTCCGGCCCCACAGTGAGACACCTGTGTGTAGACCTGGGCATACAGGGTCCTCATACCTCCCTTTCTGCCAGGCCCACCAAACCATGAAGAAGCAGGGGAAAAAGGATCTGAGGGTCAAATAGTGCCTTGCATCTGTAAAACTTGTTAAATCAGAGTCTAAGTATAGAACCAAATCTCTTTCACTACCTTTCACCAGTGAAGGATGGGTGTCCCTTGAGAACAGATGCCAAGATCCCAGGCTGAGCCTTTTCAGTCTGCAGTGGATGCTAAAAAGCTACACTTCCTAGATTTCTGTCGTACTCCGGGTGCCAGAAAGACCAGGGGGAAAGAAACTAACAAAGCCCATTAAAATAGAAGTTCCAGGATGCCTGGGTGGCTCAGTTGGTTAAGCGTCTGCCTTCAGCTCAGGTCATGATCCCAGGGCCCTGGGATCGAGCCCCACATCAGGCTCTCCACTCAGTGGCGAGTCTGCTTCTCCCCTCTCCGGAGCTCTGCGATCTCTCTCGCTTTCACTCTCTCTCAAATAAATAAAATCTTAAAAAATATATAAAATAAAATAGAAGCTCCATGAGGGCAGGAATCTTCGTTTTGTGTCTCAAGGACCTATATTAGTGCTTGCTACAGAGTAGGTGCTCAATAAATATTTGACGAATGAACGAAAGCCACCCTTTGAATGCTGGAAGTCCAAATCCTACACCTTGAGGATGGAGAGTAGGGTTCAGATCTGCAGGCCCCCGAGATAACTGACTCCCAAGCCAGCTGACATCAGGAAGGGTGTCAGTGCCATGGATCTAGTCATCGAGGCCTTCTTCCTGAGCTGCATGCTGAACCAGGTGCACGGTGGTCTCTTGGAAAGTCTGGCAGAATGGCTTTCAACCATGTAATGGACCAGCCATACCATAAAGTGGCAACAGCCAGCTTCGGAACAAGCCTATGGAATGTACACAGCACAGTGACTTTTGCTGCAAAGCCAGAGGCCACAGGCTTATTCAGGTGCCTGAATAACATCGGCAGAACTCCACGAGGGATTGCATGTGGAGCCCCACAAGAAACCCCGTCTTTCTCGCTTACTTTTCATATTCTGTTCTTGACATGCACAGCTCAATCGCCACATTTGCTCCCAAGTGACTTTTCCCTAATTCCGAAAACCAAACTATATGGGACCTTCACCACAGTGCCTGACAAAGAGCAGGGGCCTCAAAATGCCTTGCTGAGTCAATGAGCGAGAATCACATAACACTTTTAAGGATATGATGACTCCAGGCCATAACGCAGCATTTCCCAATCCTCACCTAAGCTCTGCTAAGAATCCCTTCAAAACGAAGCACATGAGACATCAGCTCACCCCTAGGATGGCTAAAGAGATGCAGATTTCACAGCTGCCGGGGCAACCCCATCACTGCCCTATTTTAGGATGCTTTGGACCGAATGCCCACCGTTAATCTGCCCTTTACTTTGTGTGTGTGTGGGGGGGGCAGGAGCTGGTGTGTGTTTCGGTGGGCTCCCTTCTCTTGGGTCATGTGCCTTCTTGACACCAACAAGGTGGACGGAAAACCTCTTGGCTCTCTTATTCCACGCTCCAACCTCCTGTTCTACACACACAAAAAGAGACTCCGAACTTCTCAGGGGAGGACGAGGGGAAAAAGAAATCAGCATGGGTACTTGAGGAGTCTTTGTTGATAAGGCAAGTATTAGCAGCCTTGGGGAGGGGGGCACTTTCAAGCGCCAGAAGGGCTATAAAGGACTCTGTCGAGGTTGTAGGCTTAGAGTGCTTTCTACGAATTGATTGGCAAGTTGCATGCATGCACCTGTGAGCGTGCGTGTGTGGGTGTGCAACGCATTGTACGTGTGTGTGTCCCCTCACAGGTGATATTTAACCTCCATTCCGCAGTGCCATAGTGAAACCAGCTGACTCGACGACAACATTTTAAAGAAAACAGTGACAAAAACAGAGCAATTTTTAAACCTGGCCGTCAACTTGATATACATGCCCATTATTAAAGCACGGGCAGGACACGGGCTTGGACACGACAGGGTTAACCTTCAAAGGAATTCGGCTTTGGGTTTTCCTAATTCAATGGCTTGTCTACATACCCATTCAATTCCAAGGAGCCCCGCTCCCCCCCACCCCTCCCCCCCACTGCTTGTTATCTGGGCAGCCCGTGATTATAATTTTAGCCTTCAAACAAAATCGGCCTGAATTCTATTGACTGGAAGGTGCATTCAGCTTTTGAGTTCCGCCGTCCCCTTTGTGGCGGGTTTCTGTCCGTGTTGCAGCTCCGAAATGACTAATCACCGCTATGGCAGCGACCCCTCCCTCCCCACTCTGTTTTCCATGGGCCGGGCCAAAGGCTGGCCATGTATTCTCGTAGCCCTGTGAGCGTGTGGGTGTGCGTGGTGCAAATGTTTCCCTCTGACAATATGCGAAAGTGTTACCTTGGAAGCCGCTTTCTTCATCAGCTCCAAAGCAAGCCGTCTGTTCTTTTTCACTCCTTGACCCTAAACAATGATAAACAGCAATGAGTAGGAAGAAAATAAACCCAGAGCGCGCTTGAAAACATGACGCAGGTGTACCAGTGCTCCACATAAAATACTTCAAAAAGAAAAGCCAAGCCTTCTTCGTTAAAAGCCTTACCTTAAAGATGTCTACACGCAGAACTACTCTACCATCATCATCATCATCCTCACTATTGTCTTGCTTATATGGGTGGTGCAGAGGCAGCAGACCTCACCTTGCCCGCTTAGCATCCATACAAACCCCCCATTATCATCGAGTGAATCCCATTCCTGTCAATCCACAGGTCCTATTGGGAGAATCCCTGAAGAACAAGGTAGTGAGTCTGGTCATCCTGGATGCGTTTCTCTGTGGCTGGCCTCGTTTGCGAGCCACATACAGCCCTTGATCTGGGACGGGACAGTCGGAAGTTATTAGGTTGTCCTCTGCAGCCTTCCTGGGTCCTCTCGGGAGTCTCCAGGGGGGACCAGCTCAAGAGCCAGCTGTGAAGGAGACAGGACCCCTTGGAATCTGTCGCGTCAGATACTGACAGAAACTGACAAGGTTCCTCCTGCTACAGAGTTTTTCCAGCTACAGGCGGTATGAGCACTGCCACAGACAGAAACGGCTTTGGGGTCCTTGCCACAAGAGAGGGACTTTGTGGGACCTCACCGAGGTGTCCGCAGGACCGTGTGGGGAAGTGACAGGCCTGAGGGTAGAGTGGGAGAGGACCTCAAGACCTCTCTCACCACAGGACTGACAATGAAGATGGTGGGCAAGGCAAACCGGATGAAATCCATCGCTGCTACTAAACCAACCTAGCGTCTGTGTTGACACACTCACCCCTCGTGCCCCATGGAGACTTCTTGGCCAGAGACACAGAGGTTGATGGGGTCACATGTGATATAATGTTGGGGGTGCTTTGTACCAATAGAACTTTCAGCTCTATTGAAATAGCACTACAGTAAGGGAAGACAGAACGAGCAAACATCCCCGTGTTAATTCAAGCGGTGGGTTCCGCACCGTGCTGCTCCATCTAATCCTCACCACAAGCTTACGGAGATGCTGCTAGCCTTCCCATCTGAGCCCTTGCCCAGAATCGCACAGTAAGTGAGATGCCGAGGCAGGATTTGAACCCAGGCAGGCAGGCTCCAGAGTCCAAGTTGTAACTAGCACACTCTACTTCCTCCTCTGCGTTCCCGTTCTGTGCTGAGAACGTATAATGATTCATAACCTCCTTACAGAAAACGTGCAGAATATGTTTGTCTCTGTATTTTTCAGGACCCCAAATAAAATTGCGAATCCAACTAAAAGTTAAATTATATACACCAAGTTTCTCCTAGCCTTCAAGTTACCTATTTAATGAAACTGATGAGCTGAAGCAAAGTTGAAGATGAAAATATTTTTCAGAAATGCACCATTACTTCATTTAATAGAGAGGAAGAGGAAAGGAAAAAGGACACGGAGGCTACGTGGAATAACTGGATGGGGCAATGGGACAACCTTTTTGGACTTTCTGGAAAAGCATAGGAAAGAGCAGGACGACAGAACGTTAGAACCTGGTTGAACTCAAGGTTTATCTTCTCCAACTTCTTTGCTTTGAAGGCATAAAATGGGAGGATGACTTACCCAAAGCCTCACAGTTAGATCTGTGACTAGAATTCAGGTACTCTGATTTCTAGGCACCAAGTATTTTCCAGAATATTTGTTATGTAAACCTAAGTGGGATAATTTCTTGCACAAAGACCCTGCACTAAGCACAAATCTGAGCCACACTGGAAGTTGTTAAGTGAGAGAAATGTAAAGTCCTGGTACATAGTAAGTGCTCAATAGTGTCCACTGGGTGAATTCATGGAAAACAGCTGCTACAGTAAAAGTCAAAGTGCTATCCTCATGTGGATGCAAGACGGGATGGCTTAGACTGTCTTGGCCAAGCTGTAGCCACCATGGCGCCATCCTACAATGTGCCAAATGCCCACACAGAGCTCCAGAGCACACCTCTGTTCTTCACATTTGGGAAGCTCATTTTCTGCATGGGGTTATTTCACATGGAACACACTTAAAGTGAGCTTCTGACCAGAGGTAAAATCTTCCCATTACTGAAATACCGATAAGGGCCTTCCCTTGTCCCACTGAGGGATTCTTCGTTAGAATGCGGGAGAACCCAAAATCTTTAAGGTTGGGAAAGCAGACAATCCGTCACCTCCAGAGTCATTTTTCCTGTATCTGTCTCTCCCTCTAGATGGTGAGCGCCTGGTGGGCAGAAGTAATGTCTGATTCATGCTGTTATTTTCTCTGCACTTTGACAGTGACCAGCCCCAGCTCCGGCGGACCGGTGCCTCTCTGTGCCTGCCCTCCCCACCACTGCACAAGTCCCTTAAGGTCGGGGATGTGGTGCACACATCCATCTGTCCCTCCCTCTAGCGTAGAGTCTGGCGTTTCGTCAGCCTGGAATGGGTGTTTATTGAATAAACACATGGATGCTTCGGCATATGGCTAGGAGTCAAACCATTTCTATGTTGACTTGACAACTGAAAAAGGAACATCCAGACCCTATATTTGGAAACCATATGAACCAATAGGTTTTAAGGCTATTAAAGAGGGTTAGAAATGTAGCAAAGTCATGGCTGTTAATCAGTGAGCGGCCACAGCTGGGTTCTGAAGATGGACCTGGCCATGTGACTCCATGTCCTTGTTTGGAGACACTCGCTACGAGGGTAGCGGCTTTCTTTGGGCATGACATGGGGTCCAAGGGCTTCCTTCCCAAAATCAAGAGAGTTTTGCTTTTCCAAGGCTGGTGACTTGATGTTTTGTGTTTAGGGGTGAAGAACACAGACTCTGAAGCCGAACTGCCTGGATCCCAGTCCCAGATCTCTAAAATGTACCAACTGTGTGATGCTGGGCAAATTAAAAAACCTTTCTCTGCCTCTGTTACCACATATACAAACAGCAATCATAATGCACCCCCCGTGCCTACCTCACAAGGTGGTTGTGAGGCTTAAATGCGTTAATACATGTAAATCATGTAATAAGTGCTCAATCAGTGCAAACTACGAGAATAAGACAGTATTTTACATTTCTTGAAGCCCATTCATTATGTTATCTCATTCAATCTCTGGTCATTACCATTGCCCCATGAGATCAAATAACTCTAAGGACACATAGCTGATGATTGCGGAGGAGGGACTTGAATTCCATGCTCTGTCTCCTGGGCTAATGCCCTTTCAACCCATCCGGCTTAAAACAAGATCTTTGTTTTGACCAACCAGACTGTTGGGAGCCAGCCCAAACACGCACTTGGGTTAAGCTGTAATTCAATGACAACTCTGTCTGGTGGTGAACTTGCAGAACCTCTGGGGGCCGGTGGCCGTTTTTTTTTCCAATCCATAAAATAGGGGTGCTTCCTCTAGACAGTTCTTGCAAAAGCAAAGAGAATCCAGGTGCCAAACATAAGACTAATGATTAAAAAATGAGACCGGGTACTGTTTCTGACTGTGCCTTTTCAGCAAATATCCCTTTCCATCAAGAGTGACAGAAGCATATACTGAGTTTCTCCAGTTACAGAATCCTCGTTTGCCTGCACGCCTACAGGAAACTGCTCGGGAAGCCTGATAAGAATTGCGTAATTTTAGCCCAAACTGAGGGACTCTTACCTTGAATAACACAATGGCATAGTCATATATTAATGCAGGGTCCTCGGTCTCCAGCGCGCCCTTGGCATACCACTCGATCGCCGCCTCAGGATTCTTGGCCACGCCTTGCTGGCCCCAGAACAGCATCTGGGCCAATCGTTGCTTCGAGACAGTAGCAATTTAGAATAAGGACTTTCCTGTGTAATGCTTAACGTAAGACTTTAAAAGGTGGAAGGACAAACCTAGCTCAAATGTTTTCATATTGAGAACCAGGAATTAGGTAGACACGTGTCATCTTCCAACTGGGGGCTGGAGCCCTGAAAGGTGAACCTGTGTAAATACAAGTTCTTAGCCCCAATTGGAAACAATGCATGTCTGCACGTGAATGTGAGTCAGTCTACCACACCCAGGGCCGGAGCCGGGTGAGACTTGGTCGACAATGACTGTCTCCTCTCTTCAAAGCCCCTTTCTTTTGGAAGGTACACGCTGTCCCCTGAGCCTAGTGAGTGGCCTGGAGGCCTGTGCACATCCGTATCAGAAGGGCACTCAGCTCCTCCCACTCCAGCATTTGTCCACGTGGCTCATTCCACCATGACATTCGAGGCGGGAGCTCTCTGGGGATCAGAACCTCACGATGTGATTTGTCTGTCTTTCTCCCCTCAGCCCTCACTCAGCAAAGCTCAGCAGGAGCTCGTAGAAGCTACTCAACAAAGATTTGCTGAATGAAGGCAGGAAAGTTCATACAAGCTCTGGAGCACCCAGGAAATAACTCTGACAGTGGTATGTCCAGAACTAGGCACTGGAATTCCTTCCTGCACTAGAAAGACTGCAGGCTGGGGACGGATGCCTGAGAAGGGAGCAGAGGAATGTTGGTTAACATTCTAGCCCCATTCTGGCCCCTGATGGTCTTTCTTCCTTTCTGCTTCTTCTCTCATCTCCTTTTCTTTCTACCCTCTACTCAAGTACTTATAACTTCCAGCAAAGTATCTTCTGAAACTCTAGGAAGACCTAGTGTTACTAAAGGGTCTCTGAAATGCTTGCTTGTCAATGCATTTGTCTTTTCTGTTTTCTTTCTTTTTCCCATCTCTGGGCTTCTGCCTGCTTAGCAGACCCAGAGGCCCTTAACCACACTGTAAGCTCACTAGGAGCACAAAGCAAAAGCTAAGGCCATTCTTCGGGAAGGGAGATTTCTCCCTCCCAGTGCAATCTGTCTAAGCTGGCTCCTGTCAAGGGTTTCTCTTCATAGTGAAATCAAGGCAAGAAGTCAGATGAGAAAGTTCTCCCAGCTTTCTGCCCTTCCTGGTACCTCAGAAAAGTCCATCCAAGAAACAAGACATGTTCAAGAGCCAAGGTTGGTCCGTTGGTCATGCTGAACCTGATTTCTGTTATTCTCCTAGCTGAATTCATGGCTTTCTTCCTGATACCCATCTAATCTCTCCTGCACTCTTTTTATTTCTATCTAATGCCCTAAAATGTCTGATGATAGTCTTTAGGACAGATCACAAACCGGGCGGCTCTCTCTCCTTCTGGGTGCACTTCCGGCCCGCGTGGTCAAGACAGACCACGTGACCTCATTGGCCATAAAATGTGAGAGGTAGCTTGTGCCATTTCTGAGCAGCCATGGCTGCGGGGGCCTGTGTTGCAGTGAAGCCCCTGTTAGCTCCATTCGTAGGGGTCTACCAGAGCTCAGCGCATGCTCTCCCCATCAGACGGATATCGGGAGCAAGAAACTAACCCGTGCAGTTTTAAGCCAGTGAGGTTTGAGATATTTTGTTACCATGGCAGAACCTGGGTATTACAACTGATGGGCTTCCAAAACAGTGGACCACATTTTTTTTTTTACCTGAGCTGCCGCATTGCCTCGGGTGGCTTCATGCTTCAACCACATAAAGACATCTCCGTCCTCTTTGGTCTGTACTTTGAGCGTTTCATCATCCTTCAGTCTAATTGTTTCAACATACGCCTGAAAAGGAAGGAAGGAAGGGAGACAGGGAGGGAGGGAAGAAGGAAGGAAAGGGAAGGAGGGGGAGAAGGGAAATATCCAAATGATTTGGGCACACAAGAGCCAGGACGTTATTCTTAAACTAGCAATCGCGTAAGTAAAAACTATATGAATGACTGAAATATGAAGTGTGTTCACGATGCCATGAGATCAGATTCTTCCTAAATGAATGTGTCACATCTCATCTGTCTAAGTGGGCATTTTTGTTCCTATCAAACAAAGCGTTTGCCTTGGGAGGGCAAAATTTATTCCCCTTTCACTCCGGCTGCTCAAGCTTGTCCAGAAGACCACTTTCATGCCGCTGATTTCAGAGTCTGATTACACACAGCATCCAAAAAGGTAAATCAATATTTTCTAAGTACAACCTTGTTTTGTTTTTTTTTATCCCAAAGTGTTATTATCCTGCATGCCTAACCATTTTTATTTAGCGGGCTCAGCTTCAAATATCTTTTGGCTATTTCCAAAAATTAAATCTACCCTGGAAAAAAAAAGAGGGCATGTTCACTCCGAGGATGCGAGCAAGAATGTGCTAGAGGCTCTAAGGATGAACCCAAAGGGAGAGTTCACAAAATGTTTTGAATTGGCGCATAGCCTCTGAAGTATCCGACTCCTCTGAAGAAAATCAGACTCATTTTGATGTGTAAATTTTGGCTGCTTATCAAGAGACCAGTTCTGTGGTTTCACGGTCTCCCCTTAAACATAATGAAGTATAATGAAGTCTATTAACAATGCCATGAGGGGTCCTGGAAAGGGCTTCCCGCGCTCTGCACATGCCACGGGCAGATGGTGAAAAAATTGGATCTGCATGAGTTTGGGAAAGAAGCCTCAGAGAACAAGGAGGCAGGCCTGATTTCCCTTCTGACCCTCTCTGTTAGTTAAGAAAAGTCCTTATATTCACAAACTCTAGCCTGCAGCCCCATTCCTGAGACTGCTATGGCCCTGCAGAGCCCCGGGTCCCTTCCGGGGGGCGCGGCGAAGCTGGGAAGCGGGGACTGTGCTGGGGGCTCAGCACCCAGCGGGCGTCACAGCCTGCTCACTGTCTCACCTGGGGAGGCCACCAAGCGAATAGCAACAATTCGAATAAGGATACCCACTACCTTTAACTGAAACCATCTCTGTGCCGGGTATTTAAAACTTTCTTCGCACTTCATCCTCACCATAGGGCTGCGACCCAAATATCACTGTCCTTGATTTGTAAGCAAAGAAACCAAGGCTCCAAAGGTGAAACTATCAGCTTATGGTCACTCTGTAGAGCAGGTCCTGAAGCCAGGCTGGCTTAGCTCCGAAGATGGGGCTCTTTCCGGCTGCCCAAAGTCGCCCTCTAGCAAGAAGGCCCTAGAATCCACTCTGTCTCCTTGACCCTGACAAGCGTGCTGCCAATGAGCTGGCGTTTCAGCTCAAACTCCAGGGGACACTCTGTTGTCTGTGATGAGCCTGGAATTGGACTGAAGCTTGAGCTGTTCAAATACTGGAATTCTCAACTAGAACTTTTTTTTCAACAGGAGAACTTGGACATTTTGATTTTTGGTTGTTTTTCTTCTTATTTTGTTTCTTTCTCTTTAACTTTGTCATGGGACTTCTTACCCTGCAAGGATTTACACTCTCTGATGTTTCTGCCACTCTCTGCCAAGTGATGATATGTCACTGATATAGCCCGATAAGATATATCCTGATGATATATCACTGTTCTAATTGCTTTGCCCAAGACTGACTCACTGAAACTTTGCAACCTTATAAGAGTATCACTGTCAATATCCCCCATTTCACCGATGTAGAAACTGAGGCTCAGAAGTTAAGTAACTTATCCGAGATCACATATTTAGTTCTTCAAGCTTAGATGTCAAACTCAGGCTGGCTGGCGGTGGGGACCATGGGCCTCACCACCCAGTGAAGGACTCATACATCTGAGAGGAAGGAAATGATAGACTGTTCCATTGTCTTCCCTGAGACATAGTAAATTCAAACAGTGTCATGAGGAGGGTCTTGGCAAAGGTCATGTTTCTGGGGGGACCTGGGCAGCTGTGCATAATTGTGAAGAGGGAACACTTTTGTCCTTTGTATTATTGTCCCCTGGCTTAGCCCCTCCTGCTCCCCTGGGTGGTACCATCAAGTTTTGCAGCAGGATGGGGCCATTAAGAGCACAACCTTTCACATCAGACCAAGAGGAACTCTAACTCACCACTAACTACCCCTGGGCCTTGGGCCACTAACTTTACTGATCTGAGTTCAGTCTCTGCATCCATAAAATGGAGCTTAGCACGATACTTGCTATATCGAAAGCACTCAACCTATCAGCCATTATTTTTTATACTATGAAGAGTTAGAAAGGCCTAGGTTCTAACTGAGGCCCCATGACTCATTTGCTGTGTGACTTTGTGCAGTTCTTTAGCTTCTAAGTCTCAGTTGCCTCCTCTGTAAAATGAGAATCGACTCCATAGGGCTGCGTGAGGATTAAATGAGATTGTTTATAAAAGAGCTAGCAGAGTGGATGGTGTATGCTAAGCTCTCAGTAAGGGAACTCATCATTTGTTAGGTCCTTAGTTCGCTCTAACACGTAAAAGGCTGACAGCAGTTTAAACATTCGCCCTCCTGTTGGTTTTGCAATTTTGTGCAGCTCACAGCCTTCCGTTGTGAGGATGGTCTATCTAAGAGAATTTTATGCTTTGGAAGATGGAAGAAACAGAATCTGAGGAGGGAGCATTGGGGCCAGAAACATTTTAGAGAGCTCATACCATGTGCTGGGCTCCAGGTGTGGCCAAAAGTATGGTGTCCCCAGAGGAGACAGGCTGAGCAGGGACTACTGACAACTGAGCTTGGAGAAACAGAAACCAGATTAAGGAAAGCCTCCTATGCCAAGCGAACAGCTGAGCTTAGATCTTGTGGGTCAGCACTTCTCAACTCGGGCTGTGCATTATGAGCAGCTGAGCTTTTTAAATACGCTTGAACCATACAGGTTTGAACTACAGAGGCCCACCTACATGCGGATTTTTTTTCAATAAATACAGTACTATGGATATATTTTCTTTATGATTTTCTTAATAACGTTTTTTCTCTAGCTTACCTTATTGTCAGAATATAGTGTATAATACGTGTAACATACAAAATATGTGTGAATTCACTGTTTATGTTATCAGTAAGGCTTCTGGTCAACAGTAGGCTATTAGTAGTAAAGTTTGGGGAAGTCAAAAGTTATACGTGGACTTTTAACTGTGTGGGGGGATCAGTGCCTCTAACCCTTACATTGTTCAAGGTCAACTGTATAAATATACACATATACACATATGCCCCAGCCCCCCAGTCTGTCACTTCAAGACTATGGGGTGGAGCCTGTGCAGAGCTATTCTTTAAACCCCCAGGTGACTTCGATGTGCCACCAGGTTAAGAACCTCGACTGTGGACAGCCTGGTTTGGCCTCAGTGAGAAGAGAATGGATGGGACAAGACTAGTGACAGAAAGACCAGTTAGGACACGTACTGATTTGCTGCGGCTGCCACAACAAAACACCACAGATCGGTCGGCATAAACCACAGACATTTATTTTCTCAAAGTTCTAGAGGCTAGAAGTCCAAGATCAAGATATCGGCAGGTTTAGTTTCTTCTAAGGCCTCTCTCCTTACCATGCAGATAGCCACCTTCCCACTGTGTTCTCCCGTGGTCATCCCACTGTTTTATCTGTGTCCTACTCCCCTCTTCTCGTAAGGACACCAGCCATATTACACCAGGGCCCACATAATGACTCCATTTCAACTGAGTTACCTCCTTAAAGCCTTTACCTCCAAGGAGAGTCACATTCTGAGATACTGGGGGATTAGGGCTTCAATTAGGGGTTGGGGTGGGGTGGGCATAATTCAGCGCAGAACAGGAGGCTGTCCAGTGGCTCAGGGCAGAGATGACAAGGGGCGAATGTCACCTGGGGCAGCAGGGATGGGATGGGAGGAGAGAGAAATGGGCAGGTAAATGTAGTGGGATGACTGGAACTGATGGGATGATGGGGAGGATGGTTACTCAGCTGCTAGCACCATGGACAGTGGTGTCATCTGTGGAGGAGTTTGGGGGGACGGAGAGGGGAGGTGGCTGGTTGCCTCCAAGGTGTGTTATGATTGCAGTTGGGGGTGCGTAAGAAAAGCTGGAGAGGAAGGTCTGAGTGTCATCAGTATGTGGAAAGCAGTTGACACCAGGGGTGTGGATGAGACCCCCGCCCCTCTAGCAGGTGCAGAGCGAGGAAGCCGGGGACCAAACCTTGTGGAAAAGCACATTCCCAGGAGCAGAGAGAATGAAAGAAACTCATTTGCGATTAAGCCACAAAAACAAACAAAACCTAGCAGCTTCTTCCTCTTTCACCTGAGGCAGAGTCCCGATAAATCATACAGAAGTGACATGAAGGGAGATTACTAATAAAGAAGATGAAATGATGTGAACCACGAGTTACATAAAAGAGAAAATGAAGCAAGAATCAAGGAAGGAGTTACTGAGGGATCCTTGGCTTATTAATTAGAGGTCTGGCTTTCCATATCTCCTCATTTGTTACGTGCTGCTGGTGAATTAATAGATTTCTCAACAAAAGGACATTTAAATCAATGTATGACACCTGCTTAAATTCTCAAGAAGCCATTAATTACACATTCTTAAGAAAATGAGCAAGGATACAACTCTCCTAACTGTATAATTCCTATCTGTGATTCTTAATCATACAACTTTCAGCTGCAAGATGGATCTCCTCTATTCATTTTCCCTGGTTCTGACCAATTAAACATTTTTTCATAATCGTAACATTGCATGTGCCAAATCTTCAAAAGAAAAGGAGGTTGTTAGCAACATACCATTTCCCATTGCTAATTTATGCTGAATTAGAATTCTTAAAAGTATAATGTATACATAGAGGACATTATTAACACATTCAGGCTGAGTAGAACAACCACAGTATGATTTTGTGGCTTGTTTTTTGTGTGGATTTTTTTTTTTTTTTCAGAATAATTCCTTTCTAAAAATAAAAAAACAACTTCGTCGATTCATAAATTAATTCTGCACTGAGGTCCAATTTTGCACATAGCTTATATACACTGATAGAATACAAATGATAATGATGAGATTGTGTAAGTTTATTCAGGAGAAATCACTGTTTCCTGAAGGAATTAGAATGTCTCTATAGATAGCCATTTGGTGTTTTATGGTTTGACTCATGTTTAATGGTCACCGACAGCATATACCGTTGAGTCATTTATTTTGAAACCATACGGCGACCACTGTAGATTTCCTTTCCAGCACCATCCGTTTCCGATCATCAAAGTGCAACTTTTCTGCACTGTGGATTTCTGAGTGCAACCCAGAAGCAGCGCTGGGGACCAGTGAGTGGATGAGTTCCCCGTTAGCCGCCAAGGCTAAGGTTCCACAATCCTGACCTAGCTGGGCGTATCCCCTGGGCTCACCGAACAGAAGCAGGGAAAATCAAGTTTATGGCCTCCACTGGGGCCAAATCCAGCCATGAAGTTTACGTACTAGTTACAGCTACACAAACCCAGGTTCCCCGTTTGCTTATATATTGTCCCTGGCAGAGGCTGTATGAGCAAATCCTAAAGTATTTACCTTTACAGAGAAAAAACTGTCACCTCCTGGTAGGGACGGCTTGCTTTTCCTCTCAACTTGACTACCTCAAGGGCTATGACCATCAAAACCTCTTAAATCCTTCCTTGACAAAGAGGATATATACAAAAACATTCCAAGAGGCCAACCACGCCATGGTCTGCTCCCTCCGAATGCAGACCTGCCTCAACTAGAGGCAGCTTCCCTTGAATTCTTACACTATCACTTCTACTTATACCCTTTTATTCATGGTCCTCAAAGCAAACCATCAGTTGATCCAGCAAACCATCAGGTGCCCGGCACTGGGAACATAGCTGGGGATGGAGCTTGCTTCCTTATACCACAGACCCTGCTTGCTGGTTACACATTGATAGGAGCCCTTGGCTTACTCCGCCCACTCAATGTGACCCAACCCCTAACACCTACAGACCCACCCCCTCACATGATCTTGGAACAAAGAAAAGGTGTCTATGTTTCTGGTACACATTTTTTGCAAAATCAGAATCTGTCCAGGGCCAAATCTATTCTTCCCATGCTAGTCCTCCTGCTCATGAAAAGCTTTTCATGCATGGGTGTAGGATTGTTCCTGCATTCAGCCTGAGAACACAGCCAAGAAATACGAATTGGAGAGTGCAAGATAGCTTGTCTCTCCATTCAATTATGCTCATCCTCTGAAGACCTGAAAATGAACCAGCCACAGGTGCAGACACTGTATAAAATTGTTCAGGAAGCCCCAGTAAACAGGGCCATGACCATCTCCACCCACTTCTTTCTCTTACCTGATCTCCCTGTAGCGTGTGCTGGTCAAGGGGTGTCTTCGTGGCAATATTGCTGTAGTAGGCATAGGACAGCTCCCAGTCCAGGGGGTAGTTGTCAATACCCTGGTAGTGTTTGTATCCAAGATTCATGGAAGACAGCCTCTCACTGCCCTGGCCTCCTACCAAACTATACAACATGCCCTGTTAGGAAGAAATTTACCAAGTGTTCACAGGATTGTAGCAAAAGGTCATAAAATCCTAACATTGGAAGGTCATCTGGCCCCGTCCCTATATATGAACCTAGTCATTCCAGAAACATGTTAACATGCCTTTAAAAAAACAATCTTTAGAAAAGAAGCCACAGCAACTTTCTAATGGGTCACAAATTCTAGCTCTCTCTCCTTCTTAATGCCCAATATTATGATTCCTTGACTTCTGCCTTTCACTCAGTGAAAACAGGGGTCGTCCCCTGATTTCTCTCATAGAATCTTCTTGTGTATCTGCCAACTGGTCTATGGATCCCTGGTCTGCTTCAGCTACATTATCTATGGAAGATGATAAGAACAGTGGCCATGTCCTAATCTTACACTCTCAGAATGTTAGTGTTGAGAAGGGTTTTTGGAGATCAGCTGGTCCAACAGCCTCATTTCATAGTTGAGGAAAGAGGGGGGAGAGAGACTTGAAGTCATGTGTCTATGGCCAACCAGCCACTTTGTGACAGAGACAAGGCTAGAATCTTCCCCACTATTCTACCTTTGTGGGACTCAGGAAAGCACTTAGAAGGAATATGGAACCACCTGGGCAGGTTTAAACAACCAGTCTCTTCAAATCCAGGATGAACAATCCTATGTGCAGATCTGAAAATTAAAAGTGATCAGGAACCACGGATAGCACTTACTAAAAATGGGATCCTAAATGTTTAGCAAGTTGCATAATTAATTGGGTCTCAGAACCACAAATGAAACAGTCTGGTATGGCTTTTGTATTGATGGCAGAAGGCTGGATGTGATAATATTTTGCTTAGAGGTCCAAATGACTTCACTTAGCTAAATAGTCATGAGAGATAATGGTTCTACAGCCAGCGTAGTTAGGTAGTTATAAGAATTGGGTGAGAGGCACCTTGCTTGAAGGAGTGGGATTCTGGTAAGCCCTGCCCCAACTCTTCCTTAGAGTATGCCAATCATATCCCCTAGCTTGCGTCCAGAAAGGAAGCGCCCTTTCTCACTCTCTGAAGACAGAAGATCCTGTACTTAACATAGCTCTAGGACATTTTTCTTGAGTGTCAAGATTTTTAAAGGACTCCATGGAGCATGAACAGGTCCGGTTTCTACCTGGGGTATGAGAGCATTACTCTGCAAATATAACGCAGGTGACTGATGTTCCTGGAGCCCATGAAATACTCTACCTGCAGCTGATCCCGAGGCACATTTAATCCAGTTTCATAAAAGACTGCGAGGTAGTAGGATGCTTTATGGTATCCACAGCAGCTAGAATCCATCAGAAAGGGGACAACAGAGCTAATTTGGTGAAGACCATCAACACTGGAGAGTCTCTTTACAGCCTTCTCAAATATCCTCCTGCCGATTTCTAATACAGATTCATTTTGGTTCCTTGGCACTGTAAATAACCACAATTCACAGCACACACGATTAAGTACCATGGGATCGACGTGGCTTTAGAAAGAAGAGGGAAAAGCCAATTAAACCACCTGAGTTATTAATATGGCTGGTTCTGCAGTGCCTTGAAATACACCACCTTCCAGGGAGGTAAATTAAACCCTTTGGGGATGCCACGGTGTCATTCTGCAAATAGCTTTTTCTTTGGCACTAAATGACAGCCTAGTATCCTGGGAAAAAGGATGTGCCTTATATAGCTGAGAAAGCGCCTCTAGAGAGTAATTTACTCAGTGTAACTCACCACCAAATCAGGACCGCCGAAAGTTCCAGAGAGACTTTTTTTCCCTCTAAGACTCTCGGAAGAAGAATGTGTTTTATCTCAGAAATAGTTCCTAGGTGCTGCTCTAAAAAGTTGCACAAAAAGCCTTACTTTGAGATGCTTTCTTATCTTTTGCCTCCAGTTTTTCTTGAGGGTTTCTAAATACAATAAAAGGAATGAGTCAACTTTTATGGAGGGCCTACAAAATGCCAAATACTGGATTAGGTGCGTTATGCAAATTATGTCATGTAATCTGAACAATTTTATGAGGTAGGTACTATTCTTAGTGTCCTCATTTTTCCAATGAGGAGTTTGAAGCCTGAGGTGTCAACCCACCTGTCCAACATTAACAAAACCTGGCAAGTGGCTGAGCCCAGTTTTGAGTTCAGCTTTGCGGTCACAAAAGCCATTCCTACTTACTCTGCTGCACCGACCTGCTGATGAACAGGCAATGAGATGTCTTAATAAGTACCTTACCACTCCCAGTAGACCCTTCTCCATGCAACTGCCTTCAGCTGTATGGTATTTCCTTTCACCTAACCATCCTATAAATCTGATAAACATTTAAGCCCAAACTAGCAAGTTATATGGCCTTATAACGTAAGGGTGATGGTCTTCCAATAGTTTAAAGTAGTTTACACTATTCATCTCTCTTGTTCATTGATTTGGGCAACAAATGTTTACTTTCTATTCTGTGTATCTATTAGATGCTACGATTCGAAAGGCCAATAGGATTGTATAGGCCAATATTGTTTACATTTAAAGAGACATGGTCATCTTATTTAAGACTGAAATTGTATCTGCCTAAAAGTTGTTATGTCCAACATTTTTCTTTTCTTCATTCTATCCAAAATTAAAATGTTACTAATAACTTTCAGGGGGCAGCAAGAGACTCATTCTATCAGCACTCCATTAAGGAGTGAACAGAAATGACGTTCCAATGTGGGAAAACTGAAATGGGCAGGTCTGAGATCGGATTTATTTAAGGGCAAGTCCCTTGCAGAGTCCATGCTAAAAACAGAGGCCAGTGGGATCCAAGGATGAAATTGCGAAAGCCAAGACATTGGTTATGAGCTGGTGCCGGTCCTTTTGGGCACACAGGCGGGTGGGCTGCCCCCTGAGTGGGGGACACGTGCCTCCATTTGCCGAGCTGCGGGGAAGGAGCCCACCCCTGCCCGGAGCCAAGGCAGTCTCATCTCCTGGCTCCTGGAACCCCTCACCCCAGCCTTCTAGATTCCAAGAAGCAACAGCTGGGTCTGCTTTTACTCTCTCGATCCCAAGCAATAGGTGCGGAAAAAAATCACCCCGCTGAACACATGGAATTTACTTCTCTTTCTGTATTTTTTAATCTCTAAAGAAATACCTGCTTGTTTAAAAAAAAAAAAAAACAATGCAGATTTGTATAAAATAAAACCAGAAGTGCCCTCTCTCCTAATCCTTCTTTAATAGTGAAGACAAGCATTGTTCAAAGCTTGGTGTGTGTGCTTCCAGACTTTTCCCTTTGCACAGACTATATAACTCATATACACATCTCTCTGTATTGATACACATGCCTTTTCTTCCACAAAAGCTCCTACAATTCTGACCCTTAACTTTTTTGCTTAAATTAACCACGTATCATGGGTATTTGTCTGTGGCTGTCAGAAGCCCATTTTTTCTAAAGCTTTGCTAAAGCATTCTATAGCAGTGCTGGGTCCCCAAACAGTTCTCTATTTTTAGACCCTTGGGCTGCTTCCAGTGATTTTGCTATAACCAACAACACGGCAATGAACATCCTTGAACATTTCCCTCTGCTCATCTGTTGGGATATATCTGAATAATAACCCCCTTTTCCACCAGGAGTCTGGGGATCTCATTTTGGACTTTCCCTTTGAATAGTTGAGAGAATTCCATCCTACCCAACCATTAGACAGGATAAGAACCAACCTTCTCCGCTGGATTTAGTATGCGCTGCAGAACCCCGATGCAGTTGCAAAATGAATCCTACTCCTACTTATTCATATATTTACTTCTAAACATGTACCCATCTCAGATATGCCTCTCTGTGCACATTCTGAGCAAAGCAACATTACCATTTTGTTAATGATTCATCCCCACCTCACCTGCTCTGCCAAACACCTAACCAAGACGATGAGTTTTGCCTGAGTACCCACAGACGTGGGCTTTGTGGGCTCAGAGGAGAGAGGAAACTCCAAACCAAATGAAGCTCCAAATGAAACACTTACCCCAGCTGACCCCTGGCACAGAACCCCAGAAATCATTAGCAAGAGTGCCCAGGTAGCTGGGATTGCTGGAGAATAAGGAGCAAAAGCGGAATCCTTCACAAAGCTCAAAGCTTTAGCACCAAAACCCCGCAGACTGCAACCAAGGCAGATTGAAAAGGCTTCGTTATTTCTTTTACACATTAAAACTCCTAACTCTCCCCACACCCAAATATTACCAATCAGTATTTCCTCTGCAAAAGAATCTAAACAATTTTCTGCACTAGTGAATGTAATAAAAAAAAAAGTCTAAAGTCAAACTGCTCTTTTTGCATATTCTTTAAAGTTGAAGTTCCAACTGCGACAGAAAAGCAAAGCCGTGCATGTTACCACTGGTGAGTCTGTAAAACTGGCAATTTCAAAATTAGTTTAATGAAACTGTTAATTTCACCCATCTGGTTTAGCATATGCATTTTTTTTCTAGTCAATCTGTAACTAAAAAACATGCCTTGTTTATGGAGATGAATGGCATAATGAAACAAACAAACAAACACAATAGAAGAAGGAGCCATGTTCCCATTTTCTGGCTTCCTGCCCCAGAAGCTAAGGAAACAAAAGCCCAGCGCCCCCGCTCCACTCCTTAACCCTTCCTGTTTCCCCAGGAGCGCGGCATTGTTGGTTTTGCTTTTCTACAGCAATACCGATACCATAAGGTGGCCATTGGCGGGCTCATCATCAACGGAGGCAAAAAGCAGAAAATGAGAAGGTGGGCCCTTGCTGGGGAGCTGGAGTGGGCATCTGATTGAGAATTCAGGGGAGAGGCAGACTCCTTCCTCGTGAGAGGCACGGGGGGCATCGATAGGAAAGTCATTTTTAGTTTCAAGCTTCCAAAAGGTGGAACGCGTCCAAAGTACGAGTTGGAAAGGGAAGAAGAAGTGAAAGGAGAAAATGTCATTTAACCAGAAAAGGAAGCTCTCACCCGGCTTACTCCTTAAAAAAAAAAAAAAAAAAACACAGCACATTCCTGATTTGCATTCTGATCCCCTGAGCCCCAGAGCCCCAAGGAGGTGGCTTATTTTCCAAAAGTAAACTGCTTGGGGCGCTTGAGTGGTTCGGTGCGTTGGGCTTCGGATTCTTGATTTTGGGCTCAGGTGGTGATCTGTGTCCTTTGTCCATGCTCCTCAGTGGTGAGGCTGTGTCTCTCCCTTTGCCACCACCCCGCCCCCTCCCCCCCCCACCGGCCCCTCCAGTTCTCTCTTTCTCTAAAATAGATAAATAAATCTTAAAAGAAAAAAAAAGTAAATTGCTTGTACTCTTCAGTATGCAAGTTTTCCAGGTTTGTCCCATAATTTCTCTCTGTCCCTTCTCCATCCCCCCCACCCCACCCTCAGGACTGCCATCAGGGGACCTCTGGGCAGGAAAAGTGTGGCCCTCTCTGTTTTCTTCTCTGTGCTTCTGTGTATTTGCTTTAAAAAAAAAAAAGATAACGTATGCTTTCCTAAATAAAAATAAAGATGAAGGTTTTTCAATGAACGACACTGAAAATAGCTCTTAAAGGACACGGTATCCAGGTGTTATTAAGAAACATTACTGTATGTCTACCATTCCCGTGCTCTGCATTTTAGTGTTTCCCAATACACATTGCAATTGTTGGCAAAAAAAGAACAGTTAGAAGCGAACCAGTTAAGGCCAGCAACCCCTCGGTATCTAGTGTGGGGCCTCCTCTAACTCTGCACTCAGCGCTCCTAAGCCGGGAAACAAGGCCGGCCGGGAACAAAAACAAAAATGAGAGGGACAAGATGCAGATGGTCAGCCCTGGGAGGTGAGCCCACCTCAGACCCGGCCTCCTCCCGAGACCCATTTGCTGGCAGACCTTGGACTTCCTGTAGCCACAGCTCCCGTGGGCTCAGACGTGCCCAGTCCAGAATGAAGGGAGGGAAGAGAGTGAACAATTCCGGCCTCAAGGCAGATGCCCACAGGGGCCTGCTGGCCAGCTCACCTGTCCCACTCACCTGTCCCTGCCTGCCCTTGCACCCTGCCTGCACCTCCGTCTTTGCAGCTTTCCTCCCTCCTTCCTACCCAAACCAGCTCTCTGGCTTCGAACCCCACCTCCGCTACCATCTCCGCATCCCTGCAGCCTTTTACCAGCAACCCCCCATCCCCACCACCTCTCTTCCCTGGATGCTGGAGCCCCATTCAAAGGGTTTTTGAATTCTAAGCGTTCTGTTTTGACAAGGAAGTTGCAATAGGAGAGTAAAAGAAATAGTCAGCACACCTCTTAAATAATGGAAAAGCACGCATACTAGAATCCTACCATCCTAGCACTGGAAAAAGCCCAAATGCTAATAGGGCAATTTCTATGCTCTAACAGGAGCCATTTTCCTAGAGAATTGGAGGTTCCCCAGGAAACGACATGGAGGGTGACCAATCAGAATAGTTCCCCTGAAGTCTTGAACACGGGGTCTCCTGTTGGATGCCACC